AACCGYGGTTTTTATGCCCACATTTGCTAACGGTAATTAACCTTATACATATTACAGAAACKGAGCTCCTTATAGGCTGCTTTAGAAACAATACTTTGCCGTTAGCCTCACAAATTGGCGCCATCAAGTCGTTAAGTGAGCTTAACGATAGTCAGTTTCACTTGACAAGCAGCTGTCTCGGGAATTCCGGGACAAAAAGTCTCTGGTAACTTTCGGCTCCAGAAAGCTACTACTTGCAGCTGGCAGCTGTTAGCAGCTTTTAGTTATACTGAGATCGGATAATTCCAGAGTATTCTACATGTCCCTTTTCGCTTTAAGCAGGCTCACTACATTTCCCCTGTTTTCTTTTAGCAAGGTTGAGTTAGCTTGATAGGCTTGCTGGAGCAAACTGTTAAACATTTTCTAAAAACAAGCAAAATACAAGGTAACAACAATAAAGCAACAAATTCAACTCTTAACTATAACCAGGGCGTGCTGTATGATCCTTCGTGCCCAAGGGCTTGTTCTCAGACCTTTGAGCCACTCATATACTCGTTTTGGGCTGCGGTGGCATCCAGGCAGCAGTTCCTGTTATACTCAGCCCCACCAGTATTGCCCACACCACTTTTATTAYGTGATTTAAGGCGAGTTTTTCTGTTGAAAGGTGAGGAGGGTACAATCCGCGGTTTGATCTTCACTTAGTCTCGCTCTGCCGSGTGTGGGCTCAGATGTCTCAGTCACTGCTACCTTGGTCCATCTCGCCAGCAGCCAAAGGGGTCCTGTGGGAGAAGAAACACAAAGATACCCCCCACCCCAGTATAACACTTTTGCTAGCTCTTGCTAAAAGCCTGTTCTCGGATCCTGATATCTGATGCTCTCCCTGGCTGCCACCCGTCACCGAGTGGCTCCCGGCCAGGACGAGCTCCGCCCCAGCGACTCGCTCTGGGAGCGAGAAGCTCGCAGACAGCCGCCCGCACAGGGTGGGGGGAAGGAAGCCCAGAGGCGAGGCTCCTTCACTCGCCCTTCTCTCTTCTCGACCCGTGCGCGGCGTTTTCACGCCGGCTCTCCCAGATTTCCAGATTCTTTTCCTTTTTAGTCCATTGATGGTGTTTAATGACAGCAGGCACCTTATCATCTCCAAAGACACATAGGTAATTTAGGACAAAGAGATATTTCAACTACCTTCCCTGGGGGTCCCCCATGTCAGAATGTTTTTTCAAAGATCTTTTTAAAGTCCCATTCGCTCTTTCTATGATGGCTTGTCCTGTGGGGGAATTAGGGATCCCTGTCGTGTGAATTATGCCCCATTGGCACAAAAATCGTTCAAGTCTTTTGCTGCAATAGGCTGGCCCATTGTCTGTCTTGATCTTCTGCGGGGTTCCCATAACTGCAAAGCAGCTGCAGAGATGTCGCTCGACGTGGATGGTTTTCTCGCCTGCCTGTGCCATGGCCCATATAAAGTGGCTATAGGTGTCAATCGTGACATGCACATATTTGAGCCTTCCAAATTCTGGTACATGCGTGATATCCATCTGCCATATTTCATTTGCTTCTAAACCCCGAGGGTTAACCCCCAGACCCAGGCAACAGCCTCTGTTGTGATGGCTACAAATGGGGCATGTTCTAAGTATTGCCTTTGCTTCACTAATAGGGATCTGGAACTCTCGGTGTAAACCCCTTGCATTTTGATGGAATATCAAGTGCGCCTCCCTTGCTAACACTTGTTGGGGTACAGGCTTTGTCTGTGCTGTTGAGATTAAGTTACTTGCTCTCGCATTTCCCAAGGGTCTGCAGGATCTTAAGGGCACAGACAGACGTGGCTTCTTGGGCAGGAAAGCAGAGACAGCTTCATTTGTTCTAGTAAAAGAAAGGCTTTCAACCTGTTCACCCTTTTTATACACATTTTCTTGCTGATGTTCTGCTTCTGCATTTAATCTTGAATATTTTGACTTTTCTCCTGAGGCTCCTTATTCTTGTCTGGTAGATTCTAGCACGGATGTTCTATTTTCTTTTAGAAGAGATGTGAGCAATTTCTCTTCTGTTTCATGTTCACTCATTCTTGTTTTGCCTAAGTGTTTGTCAGTTGTATCATGCTCAAATTGAGGCTTAATTAGACTCTCTGAATAACCTGATGGGATTATCTGTTTATCCACCTCACCAGGAAAATCCAAAGATACCTGAAGGCATACCTGACTGACCCTTTCACAAAACTGACTGTTCTGCATCTTCCTGCCATTGTCACCATCTTCAGGCTGCACCGCAGGCTCCCCTGATGTTTCAAGACACTCTCTGTGGTTTAATATTTTCAGTGCTTTCTTCCCTTGAGAATTCTTTGTACCACATCCAGACTGTTTTGCCTTAAGTTCTTGATTAATTGTCTGCAGTCCCTTGACCATCAGGAGCAGGTCAGAAACCCTTTTTTCAAGTTCTTCCAGAGACAGATCGTCTATCTGAAGGCTTAAATGGTGTTGTTCTCCTAAACAGATACTCATATAAGATGCTTGATCTCCACAGAAAGATAGTGTTTCATCCTGGTGGTTTTTCATATCCTTAATCTGATCTCCTAAGATCTTCTGGAGATTCCTGTTACCTAAAACATCTTCCTCTAGTTGTCTTTTCAACATGAAGATATTGTTCAGTTTCACTTGCAAGCTATTGATACTATCTGACTCCTTGAAGGTCTTTATTGGAATAGAATAAATATTCTGTTCTTTCCTTAGAGCAAGAATCAACTTCTCATATTTAGCTTCTTTATTAGCTTTCAGAAGGTTTTTGTATTTACCCAGCAGGGTCTCTTGTGATTCCACACTGTTGTTAAGGCACCACGTGTTAAGGTGTCTTTCTTCTTTGGGATCCAGATATGATCTTGCTCCATACCCGTGACTTGCGGTGCTCTTTCCCTGCTTTTCTTTATGAGTTCAGCTAACATTTCGATTTTTTGGAAGAGTGTTTTAGCTGTAATGGGGGGAACAACCATTCCAGTCCCCTTATCTCCCCCGTTTTCTTTTGTTGTTGTTGTGTTAGCGCTCCTAGCAAATATTTTTCTCCACACTATATCGTGAAATTTATTGGCAGTTCTGGATCTTGTCTGTGTATGCTTGCAGTAGTGACACAGTCCATTATCTGGTTTAAGCTGCCCATTGATTCTCAGTAACAGTCACAGATGATGTAGGGTCTATACCTTTAAGAAGAGGCCGTAGCTTATCTAGGAGTTCACTGGGAATTCCCACCATGGGCCGCAACCATTGCAAATCTTAAAGTAATTTCTGGGTCTCAGTAAGGTGTTTATTTCAACTTTTAGGTGCAATTGCTTCTTCATCTCTTGTGCTTGCACAACATCAGCAGGCTTGAGAATCCTTTGTCGATGTGCTCTTTAAAAATCATCATGTTTTTCTGGTGTAACAATACTGTCTCTTAATGTCTAACCTAGGTATTTCTACGGTGCTGACAACTGGGTTTTCTCTGGAGCAATTACTAGCCCTTGTGGCATTAACGCCTCATAGATAGCTTGTACTTGAGAGCTGGAAAGCGGCTGCTCTTGGGCAAACAGAACATCATCCATGTAATGATCCTTCTCTATTCAGCGCAGGCAATGTAAATGCGAACCTCATTGTGTCTTGTGGATGTAGCTCAATAGTCTTGCACTAATTTATGTGTCTGTTCGAGGCTTTCTCTTTTTAGCGGCCATTGCTTCACAAAAGCTCAGTTTTTATCAGCGGGCACAGACGGACCGCACTGTCAGTGCTCTTTTCTGGGTAGTGCCAGCGGGAGTGCTCCGGCCATGCCGTCCTCCAGGCACGCTCCGGCAGCCGGCAGGGCAAGCCGCCTGCACGGGGGGAAGGGAGCCTGGAGGCAAGGCTTCTTCACTGGCTCTCGTGTTTAAAAGTCCTCGGATGGTTATTGTTTCTTCTCGATATTTTAGCATGTTGTTGTGCTTAGGTTGGTTACTTAAGCTTATAGTTAATAGCATAAGCCCTCCTGTGGARCTAATTCTTCTGTCTCCCCGTGTTTGTTTTTGTTACGGAGGTAAAAGTCTTTGTCATTCGTTCCAGAGGGACCAGTTGAGCAATCCTCTGGCTCTTCTCAATTCGTAATGGGGGGGAACGGGGTGTACACCATGATATAAATTTCTCCTATATAGTCCTTCCATGACTCCTGGCAGCAGCCAGCGCCAGAGCCGGGGCCGGGTCCGGGCGGCGGCAGCGGGACGGGGGTGCTCCGCGGCGGCCCCGCCCCAGCGGCAGCGACGGGGCTAGCTGGGCAGCCCGGCACCGGGCAGCCCCCCCACCGGCCCGGCCACGCCGCCCACCCCCGCCCGGCTGCGCTGGTGTCTCTGTGTGTGTGACAAGGACAAAGTGCCGCCGCTGCCGCRTRCCCCCCGCGGCTCCGCTCCACTCCCATGTGCAGCGGGACCACCGTCTGAGAAGGCTCGGGGGCAGTTTCACTAGCTGAAGGCGGCAGATTAACTGTAGGCACAGTAGGGGGTAAGAGGCACATTGCCGGTTTTTCTTCTGAGCTGCGTTAGCCTGGCTGAACGCCTTTTTCTCTGCCTGGCATTGCAACACCCCGTCACAAACCACCCTCCATAATCTTCCCATTCTTTCAGCCGTCTTGTCATCTTCTGATAAAGCATTCCAGATCTTACCACCAAGTTTTCTCCACTCCATACTGAGGTCTATACCCTTAAATTGCCGCTTTTTTAAAAAGCAAGTAAATAAAAATGCCGCTTGCCTTTTCATCCTGTGTTATCAGCCGGGACTCTCCAATGAGGTCGCCCAGGGCACGGTACCGGGTTCCTCTCTTTTGATACTTTTGCAGTTCCGTTTGCAGCCTTCCCAGGTTATATCGGCCGGGACTCTCCGATGAGGTCACCCAGGGCACGGTACCGGGTTCCTCTCCTTCGGTACTTTTGCTGTTCCGTTGCTGCCTTCCAAAGTTATATCGGCCAGGACTCTCCGATGAGATTGCCTGGGGCACGGTACCGGGTTCCTCTTTTTCGGTACTTTTGCCGTCCGTTTGCAGCCTTCCAAGGTTTCGGCGGCACGTGTTGTCGGCCGGGACTCTCCGATGAGGTCGCCCGGGGCACTGTACCTCGTTCCTCTCTTTCGGTACTTTGCCGTCCCCGCTGCTTTAAGGACCCGAACGCACTCGCCGCTCGACCGTGGTCAATATTGTTGCGCTCCGCGTAAACACTGCTTTCTCCGATCGCGTCGTGGTTCTTCGATCACGTCGGGGTCACCATTTTGTTGGAGCAGACCATTTRTCGTGCGGCGGGAGAAATGCACACGACCACCAGATGATGATCAGCATAACTCGTTTATTCAGTCAGCAACCACGGTTTTTATGCCCACATTTGCTAACGGTAATTAACCTTATACATATTACAGAAACTGAGCTCCTTATAGGCTGCTTTAGAAACAATACTTTGCCGTTAGCCTCACAAATTGGCGCCATCAAGTCGTTAAGTGAGCTTAACGATAGTCAGTTTCACTTGACAAGCAGCTGTCTCAGGAATTCCGGGACAAAAAGTCTCTGGTAACTTTCGGCTCCAGAAAGCTACTACTTGCAGCTGGCAGCTRTTAGCAGCTTTTAGTTATACTGAGATCGGATAATTCCAGAGTATTCTACATGTCCCTTTTCGCTTTAAGCAGGCTCACTACACATTCAGAGTTTTACAGTTTTGCAAAAGGCAAACCTCTTAGCACTTCTCCATGTGTCTTGGTAATGCAGTGGCACTGTTAGCTTCAGAGGTGCTCCCAGTAGAGAGTTATGGCAGTCCTTACACAATGTGGATCCCACTTTCCAGGAATCTCATTGAATGGTGTCTCAGGCCTCTGGCTGAGACATTCTAGTTACAACCATGATGACAAAAACCATGAGAAATTAAAGAATTTAAAATAAGGTAACTTGGACTCCTCCCTGCAGTCTGCAGCCATGGGAGCTGGTGTTAGGGCAAAGTCTTCCTGCACAAAAACAAAGTTACCCAGCTTGTAAGCTGCCTCAAGACTCTTGCCCATTTTCCTAATTACAGAGGAACAGACAAAGGTCAGATCCTTTTGAGTCTTTCCATGCCTGGGCCTTCTGCAGATGTAGGGAAATAAAAACAGATTCACAGCCCTCATTCTTACTTATGATCAAATCTAGGTTCAAATGCTTCATCACTCTTCATTTACATATCTGCTGTATTGAAGGCACTAGTATTTCAAGGGTTTGTTTTTCCCCTCCTGGCAGATGAACCAACCAACCAAATTATCAAAAGAATTCCATGAAAGAAAGATCATAATACATGGAATTTTTTTATGTTATAAACATTAAAAACAAATAGCCAATAATGATTCCTAGATTTTCTTTGTCATGCCACTACTCAGGAATGTCCCAGAAAAGGAAACTTCAAGCAGCCAATCAATTTTGCAACCCTGTTTTAACCTGCCTGTTACCAAGTGAGTTGTGAATGCCTCTTCTATTGACTTGCTTTAACATTACACCATTTATAACCCACTTGATTTTCATTAGAAACATTAGTACTGTTCAGGCTCGTTAACACACAGTTTTGTCCTTAGGTTTCAGCTAGTAACAGTCATCCCGAGTCTTCTAAAACTAAAATTCATATAGAAGGCTTCACATCTTGTTTATAGAAAATCTTTTGGATCTTTTGCTTGAAAACATTTTATTTAGTTGGTGGACTAAAAAATCACTTTTGTCATGCTGCTGCTAGTTGAATATCACTAGCAGCGTCTCAAAAGTCAGTTTTGGGGGCAGAATACTTGAGCAAATTCTCGCTTTGTTGCTTTCAAAACCATGGAAACTAAAATCAGAAGTCTAATGCTTACTGAGACTTCCAGAAACCTTGCAATCAAACCCAGGGCTAACAGCAAGGGATAAGATAGGCTTTAGGACAGTTACCACATTTGTTAAACCAGAAGTAAAAGCCAAGTAAGCAATCAATCAATCAATCAATCAATCAATCAATCAATCAAGTCAGTGATTCCCCACGTCTAAATAAGAGCAGTCTACAGGTACAATATAGCCTGGACCCAAAGCTAATAATTTATTGTTGGTCTAGTCTGCCTCCAAGGGCCAAGGAGAGATTAATTATCACTGTTTGGCAGTTGGAACTGACTGGACTGTGTTGCAAGACCTCTAGAGAATTTGATAGTGACATGTTTTGTGATAGCATCCAGGCTCCCAATCACACCAGGTGTTCACTGAAACAACGTTTTCCATTTGCACAAAACTAAAGGCTGAAAACTGACCTAATCTGGAGGTCAGGTCACAACATGTAAAAAACCCAAAGATTAAGCTGCCTTTTAATAAAACTTACAGTAAATACAATCAAGGTGATAAACTTAAACTTCACTGGTGCTGAAAGAATCCTCTAGTTGGTTTGCAAAGACGAAGAAGGCACAAAAGGTTAAAGAATGCTTTTATTCAGCTTTCACAGTTCTAAACAGTAAACATAACTAACAATCCACCAATGATACCAGAGAACACAGTCCTGGTATCAGTAAAATGTATACTGTTTAAGGCACTGGTAGTGTGAAGAAAAAAAAGGCAGAACAGGGATTGCTCTTTCTTAATAAGAATTTGAGTCTATTATGAATATGTGGTTGCTATTCACACGCTACATTCACAAACAAATGTTTGTGACAGGAATCAGTGGCTTCCCTACTCTGATTCTAGAGCAAGTATTGCTTTTCTTTGGAGAGAAATCAATTGTTAACATACTAAAATAAACCAAAACACAAATTACTTCAGCAGTATGGCTTTAAGACCCTGTATTTGGTTACAATATAGCAAACCAAGTTAAATAACAGCATATAAGTGCCATATACTTTCATTTTAAAAGAAGCAGTTTTACAATATAAAAATTAGTTTAGAACATACTAAAGCCAGTTTTTGTACAAACATTTTTACAAACTGAATTACTAAAAAAAATTCAAGAACATATTAAATATGAATCATACTTTACATGTTGTATGCATAAAATTACTTATCTTGATGATRTAAATTTAGAACACTACATAATTTTTAAAGCTGGCATTTATATGCTATTGAAATGCACACATCAGAAATAATGAAGTGTTAGTTGTGCTAAAATCCTTAAGAGTCACTTTTATATTTGCCAAATTGATGCACAGTGACTTAGCTTTCTAAAGGAGCCACAGTGACCTCCCGTGGCCACTTAAGAAATCCCCGTCCATAACCTTTTTTTTCCATTTTGTACATAACATTCCACACAAACGCTAATAAACTTAAAAGGTGCAACACTGGTTTTGCGCCTGGTCCAACTACGCCAGGAAACCACAGTATTTCTATCAGAAAGGAGCAGAAAGGAGCACAGCCTTCACACAATCTGGCTCCTGGTCACAAAAAAGTCAGGTGTCCTCTCGGATTTATCAAGAAATTGTTCCATAACCTTTCACAGAACTGTTTAATAGATGTTCAATATTAGGCTTCCAAATACATAACTTCAGCTTTTGAAAGAGCAAATGAAGGAAATGTAAATTGGTGCTGTCGGAACCAAGTCCAAAGCAGAACACAGGTGAAGTTGCTCAAGACTTTTAAATGTGTGTCAAGTTCATTGGTATACAAAGCCCAAAAACATAATAAAAAGAAACCAAGGGGAGCAAAAGAATCCAGAAGTCATTTAAGTGCCTTCTTCCATTGTTCTGAAGGGATGCAACCAACAGGAACAAAACACTGTCTTCTTATGTCATGAACAGATGAACAATGTGAAAACAAAAATCACAGTAGTAAATGACTCTCATCTGCAGAGCAGTCATTAACACTTACATTCTTCCACTGCTTATAAATCTTCTCTGTTATATCCAACTTTTTTTCCATTACGTGACTCCTCTGTGTTAGGTGCCAGCCATGTGAAATACACCTTCACTGGATCGATATTCCAATGCTTGTGAAATGATATGGGAATTTGGTGAGAAAGGTAGTCTTTTGGGTAGTCCATTGGCCTTGCCTAAGATGGAAGAATAAAGCAAAAGCACCAGGACTTAATGATCAATAATAATTTTAAAAAGAGAAAGTATGATTGCTCAATGGCCTCTGTAACCTAATAATGTGGCACTGAYAAAAATACACAAGAGGGTAACAAAGGGGATTTTACATAATTCTGTTAAATCAGTTGACAAGGTATTAGTTTAAATCTTCAACTCACACTGCAGTCATCATGCCATGAATGAGGTAACACTGATATTACATATGTCCTATTTCTCAGGATGAAACAGTCACTATGCATGAAATCAAGCGATAAACAGTGTAGCTGGTATAGAATCTTTTTAAATATGCAGTTTTGGCTCAATAATGACAAAATTATTTTAAGCAATATTCTCTTCCTCTTAATGAGAATTGTCAGTATTGCCAGTGTGATTGTAGGGTTCTGACAGGGCCATAAGCAGCCAAAATATATGGAGTTTTATGGTAGAGAAAGATTCCAAACATAGGATACATTGTGATGCCAGAAAACGGAGCTGTTATTCTTTATCACACTCCATCAAACCAGGAGAGTTATGACACAGCTACAGGATGCAGCTGCTGTCCTAATGCACCACACGTGTTCCATTTTCTCTGGCAGTTTAATGACACGTAAGTGCACCATTACATAAAAATATCACACCTGCAGTGGTCCCTGGTAAAACAACTACATTTTGCCATTAGAGTTTTTGTAAAGAAACATGCATGGAAGGCAAACATTTGTGTTTCACATCAAGGAAAAAGAAAACCAAACAAGAAGAAAATTGAGTGATTTGGATAACAAATAATTGATTCGATGCTTAAGCTGGTAACTGATTCAATACTGCACGCTTCACTTGCTTATGGTGGTATTTATGAATTCTTCATGCAGTTCTGAATATACCCCAGTCATAAAATAAGGCAACATATTTTGACATTATAAAATCTGAATATGTCTTTTTGGTATTTAGCTTTTTTAATTCTGATATTTAAACCATGGAATGCTTATTTTTAAAAATTCCCCTGGAAAAATCAAGAGGGAGCCTATATTCCTCAGGAAGACTTTTGAAAAACACTTTGAACAACATTTATGTTTCAAGAACTTGAATAATTTACTTTGGATAGCAACCACTTTAATATATCTGATACAAAAGATTTTTGCTGTTTGAAAATCTATCACCTTTTAATGGAGCTACAGACAAAATCCTAGTGTTTCAATTTTAAAATAATGATATCTACTCTAATACCTATAACTTTTTTTTTCTAAAATTTGTATTTGGTGTTCAGAAAAGCCAAATATATTGCCTTTGCCCAGATTTTATATTTAAGACCACAGTTCTGGCTACTACTCAACATGGGAAGGTTCCTGTTCTCTTTAAGGGTCTCATCATATCAAATAGATCACAGAATATGCAGGTATCTACCTCAGCATGTAGGCAGCAGAAAACCAGTAAGAGTGGGCAAACACATCACAGACACTCAAGGAATGAAATATCTTTGCTTATGTTTCATAATCTGTATCTCAGTACAATTTTAGATTGACTTACTTCAAGGAACATCACACATCATAATATTTCAGTCAAGACCTTAAAAGTTATTTTCAGGTTGACAGAAAATCCAATTTATTTTTATTTTATTTTAAAAATATTTGTTACACAATAGTGGAATTTGTAGAATAAGCACATTCAATTTTTATTCAGTGGTTTCCCCCTTCAGGGTTAATTTCTGTTTGAGGGATGTTAAATTAGAATTTGTTGTAAGAACCAGTAAAAACAAATTACAAGTGAAATGCAATTTTTTTACAAGTGGAAAATCAAACTGCTAGGATTTCACTTTCGAAGTGATTCAATATTGAATGTACACCGTTACGGATTACAAGGAGGTGCTATGTTTTTTTTGAATAGGGATAAATTTGGAAAATGAACTCTGTTCTGACCCTCCTTCAATCAGGTTGGTTTGGGAYTTTTTAACACCTTTGCAAGCACAAATTATTCAATAACTGTTGTTTTTCTAATCTGCATGACTTGTTTTCTTTCTATACTGAAAGAAATAAGCAATGATAAAACCGCAGACTAAAAAGTTACGACACTTTTATATGACCAAGCATTTAAAATGTTGAATAGTGTGTTCTCAGTCTTCCCATTCCTCTAAACAGTAATCAGAAAGAGAATTTCAACGTAGCAAAAGCTGACAATTTAAATAAGAAACACCCCCCTCAATTGACAGCTGCTTTAAACTACACGGCAATTTACTGATTCTCAAGTAGCTTATTATCTTATTCTCAAGTCATATTCAGATACCCAGGTCTTCCCAGTTTTTTAGCTAGATTAACACCTGAAAAACATCAAACATTACACTGATTTAAATGCTGATTTTTTAAAAAGAGTTGTGCACTGGTTGGGGAAAAAGCTTTTGTGCTTCTTGTTCATACCATGGAAGATTTGGTTCACTTGGTTTACAAAGAAGAAAATCTCTATAGCCTCAATGCATCATGTTTTCCACTGTGATACTACAGTTAGCTTGTAAAACACTGTGGCATACAGAAACAAAATTCAAATCTACTCCAGCCCTTTTCCCCCAAACTCACACAAAACTTTTGTTTTGTGAGTTCTCTTTCCCATGTGCTAGTATAGAGCAATTTATCATATTTATGCCATTCTTCAGAATCCACCACAAAAGTAATACTTTCATATTTTATATTTTCACTAATGAGATTATTTCAGCATAGTAAATACTGAAACAACACAAAAAATTAGGTAAGTAGAGCAGGGAGATTTACTGAAAAATTTCATAGTCAGTTCTCCAATACCTGAAGAAAAAGGTTCTGTATTGTAGGCTTCTTCACATAGAGGACATATGATAACTGTTCAAGCAAGCTTCTAATTCAATTTGTTTTTTCAAATTCTCACTTCTGACTGCACTTTTAATAAAATGCACTTATAGGTGAGCTGAAATATCATATCAACTAGCAAAGCATTGTAGTAATCCATGGTATGAGAATGTACTTATTTGCTTGATCAGTCTTGTTCTGCTGAGAACCAAGGTAAAGCAGCAGCATCATTGGTTAGTGTTATTACATATTGATTAGATTTCAATGTTTATGACAGCTTGATGTGTATACTTAAAAAATGAAATTTTTAAGATTTTTAATACTCAAAAATAGCTCTCTGACCTGATGAAAAAGTGGACTGTGTGTTATAGGGATTCCTAAGCCACTGAAACACATCCCAAGGACCATATCATCAGGGGCATCCATGCTGTAACACCGGCATTTGCTAGCAAGTAGTTTCTGAACAGCTGCTCTGCTGAAAACCATCCTGAATTAGGAAAAAAAAAAAAAAAGTTAAATGTTGTCATGGTTTTGCTTGGTCCAATTTTTGGTGGTGGGGGATGGGGATCAAGAAACCACAAAGATGGCTGCTGTGAGAAGTCCTAGGGGTGTCTCCTTCTTCTTCTTCTCCAGCAAAGRGAGYCCTGCCCCMCTCCTGTGTTTCAGAGACAACCCATCATTGGTTCTGAGGTTGATGGACAGGCTGACCATCAGGCCTGGGCCAATTACACAGGATAGTTACACCTCTGTGATGACGTATTKTGTAGTATTTAAGAAAGAATTCATAACAAGATAGTTGCGGCCGCCATGTTTAGGTTAGTTGATAGCATGTAGTCTTAGTATCTTGCACTGAAAAAAAAAAAAAACCAGAGCAGGAGGGTGAGGAGATGTAAGAAGAAAAATGGAGACACCTCAAGATCACAGAACAGTAAGGAGAAGCTGTGCCCTTGCTGTGGTTCTCGGACAAGCTGGAGGAGATAAGTTGTTCTTGAAAAGGACTTTTYCCATCATATTGAGAGAGAGACCTGTATAGAGAAGTAAAGCAACCTTGCTGTGAGAGAAAAAAACCCTGGCCTTTTGAGGACCRGACTGKTTTTGATTATGAAGCCAAGAAATAGAGAAGAGGTTTGCTCCTCCCACGAAGTTTTGATGTAGAAGAAGCTGTGTTTGGTGTTCTGCCAGGAGGTTTGTGATAATCGGACTCACGTCGCTAAAAAAAACAACATGGGCTTTGAAGGACATTTCTTTYCTTTTCTCCTGCGAGGTAAAGAAGTTCCTTTCTGCTATTAGCAGTTTTACACTGACTGTTTCTCAGAAAAGGACACATCCCACAGCTGGAGCTGTAAGAATGTTGTATCCTACAACGCTTGGACAACAGCTGAGTGTTTTGATCTGTGTTAGACTTTCATTCTCCTGCCCCCGTGTGTGAGGGACAACATGGGAGGGGTGGAGATGGGGGGACTTGGAAAAAGAGATGGGTCCCTGGGAAAGTGTAACAGGTGTCTTAAAATGCCCATTTTATTTTTTCTTCTCTTTGTAAATATCCCTATCTTTGTTTTTTCACCCAGTGCCATTCTTAGTAGTGTGTAGTAATAAATCTATCTTGCAACTTAAGTTATGCAGCCTGTCTGACTCTTTGTGGAGTACATAGGTATCTTTCTTCCAATTATGTTTATCTCAAAGCCATAAATTTTCGTGTTAATTGGGTTTTCGCTCTCCCTTCTCCCTCTTCGGTGGGGAGGAGGTGAGGGAACGTCCTGGGCACAGTTCAAACCACGACATTTCTGGTGCATTGGCTGGGAAAGAAAATTCCAAGGCTTTAAACCCACGACAAATGTATAATAGCTACTAAAAACGTCAAATAATTGTAATTAATAAATATTGCCAAAAGATTTAAAGCTGCAAGACCAAATGTAGCCCACTGATACAACACATGTGAAATTCAAAATCTGAGGGGTCAGAGCTGTCAAACAGTGCAAGAGTCATCCTCTGGAAGATAATTACTTTATATACTGAAAAATACCCATTGTTGTTACTCCAACAATAACTCAGCTCTCAGCATTTTTACGACAGCTGATAACTCCTCCTAAATTTGGCCTGGACTCAAAAGGGAGGCTCTCCTCTATCTTACTCAAAGTAAGGGAGAAGAGCTGGGGACATGTCATCAGCATGTGTCACTACACAGTAGCTGTGAGGTAAATTGGACACATTTGGGGAAAACATCACTGATTCTGTCAAACTGATTTATGTGGTAATTTAAAATGTTTGCACTCAAAACAGGAACTAATGTAGATCTCAGTAGGAGCCGGAATAAATAAATTACCCTCCTCCACCAGTGATGTAACTGTATCCTCCTGTTCCCAAGCCGTAGCCATAGCGCTCTCCAACAAACAAAGGTTCATTGGGGTCATAGCAGCTAAGCAATTTTCGGAGTCTGAAGATACTGTAATGTGAAAAGCCATTGAAAAAAATATTGTAAACATTCCTTTTGGAACAGACATTGCTACTCCAAACAGCATTCTGTTTAATAGCATAAAGACAACAGGAGAAATTCAGAAATTCTACCCAAATCACACACACCCACTCTCTACCACGAACGACAAATTTCTGTTAAACAGAAATTTATGATGGATTATTTACTGAGATATGACTGCTGAATTCGGTCAAATGATGAACCAGTTAGCTTAAAATACTTTTTTGAAGTAGGCAGTTTGTCAGCAAAACTGCATCTCATCTCAGAGAAAACATGAAACAATACTTTCCAAGCAATGTTAATATCTTTGCAAGTTACCGATGAACATTTACAAATTAAAAACTAAAAAGCAGATTCAGTTATATGAATATTGCATTATCTACAGTTATATCCTCTTCCTATTTCTTCTTCTGTCATTTGTTTAATGTAAGGTATTGTCTTGAATCACTGTTAATGACCATTGATCATTGGTCAGTGTACCTTTTTTTCAGTGTCAGGTTTTATGAGAATGGGATCTAATTTTCCAAACAAAGGCAACATCCTGAACACCATTGTGGGTTGCTCAGGCAACTGACCTGAGCTCATGGAACCTTCCTTCTGACACATTCATGTGAGGAATATATTTTAGAAAGAGCATTAGCAAATGATGAACTCAATCAACTCAGACAGACTTACACTGTGGAATCACAAAATGTGGTATATTCAGACTATATTATTATGTGATAACACGAACATGCACAGGTTTTACCAAGTTACAAGATTACATTGTTTTTAATCTCCATCAAAGAATACTGAAGGAAAGTGACTGCTTTTTTCATAAAGGAATATAAACCTACATAACTAATAAAATAACAGTATCTCTGAAATACAGAGGAATAGCCAAATAYTACTAAATCTCCTACTGATATGAACAGTGGTAACTCCTGAAGTAATGCAATATATACCTTATCAGTGTGTCATCATCCACTACAACTAACCAAGGGGTTCTGGGAGAAGTATGATTCAAAAACCTTTCCAAGATGGCAAAAGTTTTCCCACAATGACCTAAAAAAGAGAAATTAACAGAATATACACTTAAACAAAATAGGAATTGGGTTAAAAATAAACTTTTTTTACAGCTACACCTGCAAAGATGTTGGACAATACTGGACAAACAACTACTCTTTATTTATGAGCTGTAAAAATGAAGACACTAGGATAGAAGTATGTTCTGCAAAATACTCCAAGATTATTCGTAGCATTTCATCATGCTTCAGGGAGATCCATTGCTTATATATAAGTATTTAAATCTATGTTAATCCACTGTATTCATCACTGGCAACTCAGATCCTCATCACTGCCTCCAACATTTATCACAAGATTATAATGAAGTTCAGAGGTAAGACACCCCTTAATAGTGGAGAAGTGAAACACCCCTGTTCAGAATGAGCAGGACAAGAGAAACAGGAGTTTCAGACTTCTGCTGAATCTTCTTTAGATCTCAGACAAATCTAATTGCAGTCAGTCTTAATTCATCATAGTTGGTTGTCTAAAGTAATTATCACAATCAATTACAATTACTAAACAATCATTCAAAATAACAATATCCCATCTAAAGTCACTTCCAGTTAAAATATTTTTGAGAAAAATGCAGTAACTCTATGCTTAAGACATGAAAGAAGTCCTCACTTTGGTGATTTTGTGAGACTGTGAACTTAATGCAGATCAATTTGTGAACATTTATGAAATTACAGCCTAGATTTCTATATTATATTCTATCACAAAACATGGAAGCTCCCTGGTATGACTAAAATTACTGGGCATGGCTTCTACAAATGATCCACACGTGCCCAGGAGGCCTGCTGCCTCCTGAAAACACTCGATTRCTCATGTCCCACTTCATCCATGCACATAGAAATCCCTGCCTATTCTCTCTCTGCCTCCAACAGACAAAAAACAAGGGGCAGAAATAACCCAGAGATCAGAACAAGTGGCCTAGCAAGCCAGATAAAGCTAACAGACCACTCCTTGACACCTCTAACTCAGAATGTAGTAGATTTCAATTTAAAAGTGCTCTCATTTTGTCATGAAAAATCCAAAGGGAATTATCTACAAAAACATAGGCAGGAAATTATTTTCTTGTTTTGAAGAAATGTTATACCTAAAAATGTTTCTCAGCAGAACAAGACCATCAGCCTAAGAACAGACCAAATCAAGAGAGAAAAATGAAAATTAATAAACTCAGGAAAGCCACCACATCCATGGCCTTTTTGCTACTCAAACACAAAGTAAATTAATTAAATGCCTATTATTTGCCATAAAAAGTTGTTTCAATCTCAATATTTAGTTTTTGTGCTCAAATCAAGACATGCAAGGAACAAGCATATAATATCTGAATACTATATGGCAAGTAGTTTATGCTCAGTAACTTTGGCACTGCCTGAGGTATTTTAAATAAATAAAATAAATAAAATAAATAAATAAATTTATGACTTCTTCACTGTTGATGATCTTACTCAAAATAATAAATAACTGTAGAGTTATCACTCTTACCCCAAGTTATAACACCAATTTTTTTCTCTTGGAATATATCAGTGTACCATGCATTTATAATCTCGGTGTTTAGGTTTCTGCTAAAAAGAACATGTTGTCTACACAGGGGTACTCTGAATGAACTCTCCATCCATCTCCTGGGTCAAAAGCATCCTTTTAATTTAGGCTGCACAGGTGTGTGATGGAGATACAGAATTTCTAAATTACATACTTGACATGAAAGACAAATATCATCCATAAAATTTAACTTCTTTAGACAGTTGTTTGTGAAAAACTGCCAAGAGTCAATAGCTCACCTCTGTCAGTGTTAGGTACACCTAAATCTACAGTAGGAATGGAGATGTCTGCATAATCACTGTAGTATTCAATAAGGGCAGCTTCTCTTTCCCAAGTCTGCTTTACAACTGGTACTGCAAAACAAGGATTGACATTCAAACACAAGCAACTTGATTAGAACTGATACTTGATCTGAATATTCATGGTAACCACTTTTTGTTAGCCACACATTGCTTCACATGGTAATAAAAATGCAGCTTCAAATACAGCATCATGATTCTAAATGTTCATTCTATTTTCTTTCCTATAATATTTAGATTGAAAAAAAATACATTTTAATGGAAGCCAGTCAGGATAGTTTTATTTAAATTATAAAAATAATTCTATTAAAATATGACTATAGTTTCATAATACTATTATTCATAATAATAATTGAAAACTGTGATATTTACATTTTGGCTAACCAAAGCATGGAATTCACTGCTTTTACACTTGCTATGGTAGGCTTCATAGTACACATCAGCACGAATACTATCAGAGATCAGTCTTGCCAGTTGAAATGCCACATTTTCATCCAGCTGTGCAGAGTATAACATATTCTGAATCAGAAGCAGACCAAATGCACCTTTTGAAATACTACACTTATATTACACACATCCTATATGACAGCAACATCATATAATTGCCCAAAAGCACCTGTCTCTGGAGACACACTCACGTGGAATTTTATACCTATTCATTACAAATGTATAAATATTTTTTGTTTCATTTACAAATAAAAAGTATTTGTATAGTTTATAAGCATCACACAACCAATTTTGATCCCATGGAGATTCTATTCAAAGGATGACTGTTTAATGCTTTTTTAAAAAAGCAATCTTCTTCTTACCAGTTTGCCATTTCACATCAACATTTAAAATTGATCACAAAATTGTAATAATAATGCTATGAATGTTTAAATTACATCCAAAAGTTAATAAATTATGGGTAACACAAAAAAAATCCAACACCTACAGGTGTTTAGAAAAAAGCTTTCAGATTGAAACAATGATCTCTGTTCCATCCTAAAAACAAAGAGGTCAGCCTAGATAAGCAAGTACTCTGAAACACTGCATTCTGCTGTTAATGTTTCTCTGCTTTGTGTTCTCTGACAGCACCCAGGAGGTCTCACCTGTAGCAGGCAATGCTTTAAATGGAGGAAATATTTATATAAATTCTCTTTGCTGCTGGACAACTCTGATGCCTTTGAAGAACTCCTTTCAGCCCCTTGCTAGAACCATCCATCACCTAATTTGATATTTGCTGCCTACTTAGTTGCTCACTTCCCTCTACCCTGATGACATAGGATTCATTATTCTTGATTGACCAACAGTCAGCTTGAAAAAGCTAACTTTTAGTTCATTTTAGTGTTAAGACAGAGCAAAAACAACTTTATGCACTAATGGAAAGGCTTGATTATTTGGGGGAAAGAAATCACTTATGTAGCATTTTGCAATGCTCCATACTGCATTTAGAAGTTTTTTTAAGCAATGTAAAAGTGCTCCCATTTTATCATGAAAAGTCCAAAAGAAATTATGTACAAAAAAAAAAGGATAGGCAGGAAATTATTTTCTTGTTTTGTGGAAGTGTTCTACTTAAAAATGTTTGTCAGCAGAATAAAACCAGAAAGGTTTCAGAAAACAAGGCCCCAGAACAGAAGCATCACAGACACACAAAAGTATCCAACCTTCCCCTGGCAGAAGAGATGCACCTGTGAAGGTTGTTTAACCTTTCTCCAAACAAGGACCTGAAACCCAGCAGGATACTTTAACACACAGAAATATTTGCTATTGCAGACTGAGCTTCTCAATTTCTTTGATGGAACTCCCCTTCCTCCTATAAATGAAGAAAAGTTCGCTGAAGCAAGGACTTGAGTCTCATCTCAGTTAAAAGGTCTAGCAAGGGGGCTGTTAGCAAAGGTGTCTTTTTTTGGCACTGCTTCTCCTGATGGAAGTTTCACCATCAAGACTAAAGTCTACTGTAAATTGAATCCCACAATACTTTGTAATTTCTAGTAAATTGTATATTCCAAAGAAAATTATATGAAATTTTTGACTAGGTGATGATGCAAATATTTATCAACATGTATTAATACTTGTGATCACACCAAATTTTTAATACCACTAAAGATATTTAAAGGTCAACTCTGAGCTCTTAATGACATTTTGTGCTACTTCTAGAACCCTGATGCATGTTTGTAGTCTTGAAATTTTTATAACCACAGATGGTATGTGAAAGAAGAAGAGTTGTATCTGAAGTAAATTCTGAGGTAAATTTAGCTGCTTGTAGAAGCACATCAATTTCCTAGCTTTCATGTTGCACTAATGTAGTTTTTGGCATACAATAAAGAATGACTTACCAGGTAAAAAAGAGCTCTCTGAAGCGGGCATCCATTAACCTTTCAAAATCTTGAGTAAGATTATCCTCTATTGCACAACGCTGGAAACTGTGAGGAAAGTTTAACAATTTTCCTCAGTCTTCAACAGGTGTCTCTTGAAGGATGTTTATGCTATCCTTTTGAGGCCTTATGTTACTTTCTAACTTTCTAGGTTGTTTTTTCTTTTTTATAAATGTTGATGTTAAAAAATTAACATGGATCCAGGAAGGAGAACTCTTCAGTGAACTCCAATTACAGGACAGTCAATTTTGTTTTGTCAAAAGCTACTTTAAAAATAACCTCACAATTAGGTAATCAAAATGTGCCTTCATCAAGTGCAGTAGCATTAATTTAAAAAATCCTATAAATCTTATTATGAAAAAAACCCACCTGTTCTTAACCAGACTTAGTTAAGAAAGGAGATTTTGTTTTCATCCTGTCCTGTGACAATAGGTGTGGAAAAACCCTCCCAATATATGGTAGAACTACTAACCATTATTTCATTTTCAATTTTTTTGCCAATTATAATCACTTCAAAATACATTTATAATCAAACTAAGCCTAATGGTGACAATATTATGTACTTGGAGTCTTAGAGAGCACACAAAATTCAAGTACATTCCTGGAAATAAATCTCTCACTTATTAATAAAATGTCTAGAAGCAAACTAGAACAGACTGGTAGGTGGCATCAAGTAGGTGGGGAGTGTCTTCTGTTAAACTAGTGGATTTAGAATTTTTCCCTCCAAGTTTTGTTGAGACTTCATCTCCCTCAACTTAGCTGAGCATTACCAAGTATTAGCAGAAACTGAGAGTCTGTGTCTTTGTTTTCTGTGCCTCTGAGAAGGAAGTTAACGCTCCCGTGTCTTGTTGGGCTGTGCTGGGGCTTTTTTGTTTTCTGCTTTTAGCATGGTGACTATCATTGCTTGTGTAACTACAATTTTCAGATGAATTTTCAGATAAAACATTCTATAGTGTTTCACACACCCTTGATCTGCGCCACTGGTTGGACAAAGAACTACGTATGACCAGATTTCTAGAAGGGACACATCTTCCCATTCCAAGATAAAAAAACATGTGCACATGGAACAGCCAGAAGTAATGTGACAGCATAAGCTATTCAATCTTTTACTGGAGAGGATGGCAGGACAAAAGGAAGGAGGAGATGAGGGACCTTTCAGCTTGCTCAAATTTCTAAATCAGCCACCAAAGAGCTGCACAATTGCCACTGCTAGTACAAAGAAGAGAAGTGAAACAATTATCTGGGGGGAATTCACTGAAAGGTATTAATAGCTGCTGTATTAATTCATATTGCAACCATTCCAATTTACAACAACATGCTAACTTTAGGCATATTTCAATTTAGGTATTCAATTTCAAGCTTTTTACTAACAGAGACTAATGATGAAACAATTTTTTTATCTTAACTGTTTCACAGCACTTCTGAGGACTCTGAACAGCAAAAAGAAAATCACTTGAAGAATAAGCTTTTTATAATTACAAAACTTTCCTGTTTCCCAGTTGATTTTGCAAACATTTAGTCCAAAGAGCTACAGAGAGAGCATGTATCAGCTTCCTTTTGAAATATTCATTTCATGAACTATATTGCATAGAACTACTACCTTGACCAGCCAACAACTTACTTCTGTCACCATGAAATTTTCGACATGTTTTTACAGCAACAAAAACATCTTCCTTATTCACTGGCTCTCCCTATATGAACAGAACAAAAAATATTCTTTTAAGTGCAGATTGTGCCTGTAGTATTTTATAGTATATGTATGTCCATACATATGATAAAACAGAAAATACAATTTCATTGTATAGCCTATCAAGCAGAATAGTGTTCTAGTGACACATCAGGAAGTACATTTTTATCTCTCAAAAAAAAAAGGCATTTGTTGTTTAAAATTCCTGAAATAACATTATTGAAATACTTTTTCCATTGATGCAGTACTCTAACATGAAGTAAAACACCTATCRTTAGGAAAATGAGTAGAAGAACTTGTTGAACTAAGATTTATTTGAAAAAGAATGTTTTCTTAATTTCTTCAAAATCAGTCACTACGAGAACACAAATTGTAGCCACTTGGAAAAAACAGCTTAAATGCTACATACTAGAAATCTTTGAATTTCCTCAACTGTAATAAACCATTTGACCACTTTGATTTGTTATCCTTTATGGCATCTAGAATTTTGCTCTCCTGGAAGCATGGAACACTTTCTGGCCTCTAGCTAATAATATAATAAATGTATTCTCCTAGAGGTGGAAGAGATGATTGTACTTTAAGGCCAAATACTATATGTATAATATATCTATAAAAATATATATCTATATTAAAATATATATATATATATACACACAATATATTTATACCAAATAAATATTATTATTTTTAGCCTCAACAACTTTCAGATTCCCATCTCTGGGAAAAAAAAAAAAAAAAAGATCATCTATACTTCAGTATCTCACAGAAGTGTAAGGAGAAATAATTCATAGATCATGGGCCAACCAAACATTTTGGTAGAAAGACTTGTTAATGCATATGCAATATTAGCTGCCAGGAAATATCCTGTGCCATGGAAGCCTGAAAGCATATCCAAAATACATCCTAAATAAATGCCAAAGAAAATTATTTTGTTGGAGTTTTTTTAGCTTACTCTAAAATACTTTCTCAAGTTTTTAGATTTTTGAACGTAAGTATGCATTTTAGAAAGAGTTCAACTTCTACAAAGCAAATGTAGAATATTGTACTTACACAAAGTGGCAGAAAATTACTGAATGTTGTTGCACAGTGATCAGCCTTATAGGAGTTCACATCATCTGTGCAGAACTCAGGCACTGGAGTAAGATGTGGTCCTTCCCCTTTCTGCCAAATGTACAGGGCAATCTATCAAAATTGGAAACATTTATATCAGTGATTAAACTAGATAAAAAATTTCAGGGCATACAAAGAAATCATATTAACAAGAAAAGTGAAAAATATGGGATGATGTAGCAGATTTGTCCCTTAGCTAATTAACTAATTCTGCTGGTGGCACCATGCTCAGAGCCAGATATTGTTCTTCCTGTTTCTTCCCTCGTCATTCCCTGCAACTGGAAGGATAGAGAACAGTACTTGTGCTACTGGATCCCTTAACCAATTGACCCCAGTATTATTTCAGAATTCAGCTATTCAGAATTGATGTCTATCACATGAACCAACTAAGAAGTAATGCTCCTAGACCACAAAGGATATTTGACAATTTGTTCTAATATTTTAATATTTTAATAATTTTAAACGAATTTTCAATACAAAGCCTTAGAATTGTGTGAAGCTGTTTTATTTCAGAAGCGAGTTTAGAGGGACATTTTGGGTTGTAGCAGAGGATGACACTAAAATAAAAGGACAAAAATAATCTTAATCCTAGCTCAAATCTAATGTTAGATGTACCAAAAAAATCTGTTATTCAATTCCAGATTTGAATAGGCATCAGGGAATATTGCTGTATGTTGTACAGTTACAAAAAGTCTAAGCAACAACCTGCGAGTGAGCAGCAGCATGACAAAAATACCATGTCTGCAAGATAAGGAAGTGATATAAATGTTATGGACATAAGAAATAGTGACTTGGGAATAAGGTAACACAAACATACATAATAAAAAGGATGCAGAGCACCATAAAATATCAAAGACTAGAGCCATACGTCTAAACTGTCAAACTAAAATATTTCTTAAAAATTTAAACATTATACACAATCATTTAAAATAACAGATTTGCCATGCCCCACAGGAAAGACGACGCAAACTCTGAGGGAAGCAGGTGCAGGTTCTTCTTTATTAACTCCCCTTACCAGCAAACTAGCATGAGTTATATACACTTTTCTTATCTCCCACACATGCAGTTACACCAATCACACATGCCTCAGCCAATCACATGGCCAGGCAGCTTCCAATGTCCATGCACCATGATCTCCGCTCTAATTGGTTATTTAGTTTCACTTGACCAATGCTGTTCACCGCCATGGCTGGCTGCGTCAGCTAGTCCGTGCCCCCACTAAGTCCAAGCCCAGCCCCCATACACAGCTGTAAAATCAGCTAGGGCCACCGCACTGATTATATCCTTTGATTTCTTGACAGTCTTGATTCACACTAGAAGAACATAGACATTGAAATGATTTAAGGTGGAGAGATGGTGATATATTAAATAAATAAGAGAGAATGAAGCTGCCTCTAGGGAGACATGAGACTGCAGAAAGAATAACTACAGGGCTGAAGCAGGTTATCAGTGGCAACAAATTTAAAATTAAACATATGCAAAGACCTGCTAACAGAGAAATAAGAGGATGGAAGTAATTTTGTTGGTTGAGTGATCAATTGTTTTTTATTAAGCAATCTGTGGCACATACATGGAATGTCTCTTAACAATCTTTTTTTATGACAATATGTTTAGAGACTTTTTAGTGCTGAGGTAGACTGAAATATGGGAAATATATGAATGATTTAGTCTTAAAAAAAACCAAACTAAAATGAAATGACATTGTGAAACCCAAGGTCTTAGATTAAGAATTAACAAGAGGGAAAAAAACAGCTTCCTGTCTTGTTTTAAATAGCATAATGAAAGCTGAGAGGGATACAATTGTTTTTGAGAAATAGATCAGTCAAGGAAGGGAAACTACATAAAAGAATGGTTTTGCACAAGACCAAATTCATTTAAATATGCTACAAATCCATAAATGAACAATAGATTCATGTTTTAAATGAGGAGGTTTATGATCATTACAAGATCTGGAAAAGGAGCAGTAGTTTTATGTAAAGGTGTTTTTTGATTTTTTTCAGGACCAGAATCACAGTTCATTGATGACTCTCAGGAGTTTTAAAACAGTTAAAACTATTTCAGTGTCACCCATAATTTCAGGCCAAAATCTTAATCTTGCTCTAACTTTCATTTTCTTCTTCTTCCTTAATCTTAATAATATTCTTATTTCAGGCCAGAAGTTTGTTCCAGATTCATCCCACTCTTCCACCCCTAGTTCAGAAGCTCACTTTGGTGACAGTACAAAACCCTAGATGGGATAAACATTTTAAATACAGTAAAAATAAAAAAAAAAAAAGCTTCCAAAAAAGTAGAACAGGTACTATTTTAGAGCCTCCTTCTCAAGTTCATTTCATGAGTCAGTTCACTTACTGTCTGAAATAACTTGTGCCACCTTTTGAAACTGCTGCATATCAGAGATAAAAAATAGTCCTTCCAGACTTCCATGCTGCAAGTTGCAGCACTGATTGCTCACACAATAGGTTCCTCAGTGCATTTAATATTAAATATTTAGCTGAGAATCTGATGCAGAAAGTGAGTGAGGCTGGCTAGTGTCAAGACACTTCTCATCTCAGCTCATGCTCCATGAATTGGAAATCTCTCCTCTCCTTACACAGCAATCCTTAGAAGCTATCTTAGTATACAATCCTTTATGCATTCATATATAAATGCAAGCTTTTTAATGAATTTTTCTATGTTTAAAGTATCATTTTAAAGTATGACAATACTCTAAAGGAAGGAAAATAAGTCTAATATGCCATTGCAGTCAAATTTTTTTGCAATGTTTAAGAATAATCTCTTATTTCCATTAGGATTTAACACCATTCAAATACATAACTTGGAGACAATTTTTTCTTTCATCACACCACTGCTTACCTCATGTTTTAAATCTATTGTAAAGTCTGACTTGAGTGGTTCACTCTTCAATTTCTTTGCAAGCCTATACAATTAGAGATGAAGAAACTTAATCAAAAACATTTTAAAAAATCAATCACTACTCCATGCAGCAAAGCGTGGCTGGTATTACTGACCATCTTATAAGGGGAAGAATAATAAATCACATTTCTGTATGTATTGCCTCAAGAAGTAACCTACATTTATCATATAAATCCCTTTTTTTGTTTGCATTGTGGGTGAAGGTTTCTCCTTTTGTTTCCTTTCTTTGGGAATTTTTCATTCCCATTTTGTTGCTGGGATACACTCATTACCAGGTCATCCTTTTGATGCCTGGGCGATTAGTAAAGACAATAAGACCTATGCCCCACCCAAACGATCTTGCTAAGTACTGGGTTAGGGGATGGGTGTGTGTGTGGTGGGGGGTAACTTCACTTCCTGCCTTGCTTGGCTCAGAGAAGGAGGTCGACCTGCTACCTGCGGGGGAGAGCTCGCCTGCCCTTTTCTGCAGAGCCCAGCATCTCCACTCATTGGTTCCTGTTTGCTGCACTGTGATCTTCTCCCCTGTGCCTTGCCGGGGACCCCCTGAGATTCCAGCATCAGGGGTTGAGTCCTGCTCCATCCCGTCTCGCAGCCATGGGATTCTGCTCGTCTCTTTGCTGTCCCAGGGTTTCTTGCTGTCCAGAGAAGCACCAAGATAGGCGTTTTCACTGTGAGTTTGCAGAGGAACTTTTCTTCATCCATCTCTGCCATTTTGTGTCCACCGTTGGCCACATGGGAGATCTGAACCAGCCGGGACCAACGCCACAGTGCCCCCTGCAGCCACTGGGGAATCATCGCACCCGCCCTTACCGGCCAGGAGCCAACAGCGCCCCTGCTGACTGGGACTGTAACTGCACTAAAGGGGAGGGTGTATCTCTGTGTGAGGCTGTCACTGGGTTTGTGACTGGGCTGGTTGTTGCTATTGTTATTGTTACTTGTTTCACCTTGTTACACACATTAGTAAAAACTGTTATTCCCTTTTACCCATATTCTTGCCTGAAAGCCCATGATTTTCAAAGCCATAATAATTCGGAGGGAAGGGGGGTCATATCCACCACTCCAAGGAGGGTCCCTGCCTTCATTGGTAAACACCTGTCTTTCAAACCAAGACAATYTAATATCTGAGCAGTGCCGTGATGTTAACATTAATAATTTTCAGCACACACATAAATTGATACATTCTTCGTGCCCAAGAAGAAAGTTCTCACCTGAAGAAGATGGAGAGTCTCGCATAACATTTTCAACAGATCAAAAGCAGAAGTGCATTTGAAGCTCAGTATTGATCAGCATCTCAAACTACAGACAATATTCCCTTTTTGTGTATTTCAAAGCATAGTATTTAGRGACTTTCAATTTATGAGAACATCAATTCTTGCTATGGTAAAATGCATTCAGCTTCTGAAATCTATGAACTTTTCAAATCTCATTTAAAGCATCTAAACATCTAATAGGAAATAAATATCTAGTTTGTCTGTACAGCATGTATACTTTTAGAGGGCAATGCARTCACTCTAAGACAGTAACACCAGTGTCAGGGGGAAAATGCATTTTTAAAATTACAAGATGGTATTGAACTAATTGAACAACTAGTACAGGACAACTATTAGCTAGTTGATGTAGGCAGAGTGAAACAAAATAAAGCACATGCACAGCAATGATACAGAAATCTATTTCTCTCCTCTTGTCTACTAATGAATTCTGAAGTGTTTATAATAATTATGCTTCGAATGTGTAGAATAGTGAAGAATAAACAGGACATGATTAAAAATTAAATTCTTACTTGTTAACAAGTGGAATGCTAAGAGCCCAACCAGCAGCAAAATCTGGAAATTTAAAGACTGTAGGATTTTCAGCAAAGGCATAATGGTGAATTATTGTAGATTCTTCATCATATAATGCTTTACCTAAAAACCACTCCTGTAAAGGAATATAGGAAACAATTTTGTTCAGCTACAACATCCTTTTAGTGAAGATGATGACTGCTTTCACGCTGAATAAAGCAAACCTGAAAACAAAAACAAGGGAAGCATATAGTTCACAATAAATAATCTGGACAAAATTTGTARTTGGCAAGAAATGAAACTAAAGGTAGCTCTCTGAAATCAAATACAGGCTGCATTTTCAAATTCCAGAACACACCCTGGTTTCCACTTGTTCACAGAACACTGAATCCCAGCATCATAGAAGGGCTTAGACTGGGAGAGGCCTCTTGAGATCATCTAGACCAATTCCCCTGCTAAAGCAAGATCACCCAGTGTAGGCTGGACAGGACTCTGTCCAGTCATGTCTTGAATACATTCCACAATATCTCTATTCCAGTGTTTGACTGACTGCTCTCTAGACTAGACACATAAGAGCACTGCATTCAGGAATTTCATATATATCAGTTTTGAATTTCCATCCATCTGGCCGTTTCTACACTAGAGAACTTAAAAGCAATTTCAATTGTAACACCCTCACTGTGTCTTACTACAACATTTTACAAGTTGTTTGGATTCTCTCCTTTAGACAGATCTTTTATACCCTGTAGGTACCAACAGCTTTACATCCTTGCTGCCCATCCACATGGGTTACTCATTCTGGACTTCCTTGAGGCTCTATTCTATCACCCTTCAGGATGACAGGAACAGAAGGGGCACACACAATTTGGTTTAACTGTGCACACATCTTTCTGCCATCTTCCACTACAAAAGCACAGTTTGAATCAATATCTGCTGTTGAAACACAGAATCAAAGAGGGATTGGGATTGGAAGGGACCTTTAGGGATCACCTGGTCTATCTTTCCCTGCTCAGGCAGGTCCAGCTACAAAAGAGAATGCTCAGGACCATGTCCCAAATGCTTGTGACTTAACTCCAAGGAATGCAACTTCACCGCCTCTTTGGGTCAATGTTAATTCATTTCCACAACAGAAAAATGTTTCCTGATGCCTTGAGTCATTATCTAAATAAGACATTCCTCACTGTTTCTCAGTTTTACTACAGTCAGTAATGTCCTTGGTTATCCCTTAACATTCCTACACAGTCTCTTTCAAGCCTTTGAAACATCCATTTTCACTCAATATTACACTCAATACATTTGTATCTGTCACTAATCTCTAAAGCTGCAGATTCATCAACAATTCACATGCCCATTGCAGACCTCTTAAAGGGATAAATGTATACCAACCTTTGATTATGCAGACTGCTGAGACCTTAAAATGAATAACCAATTAGCTTATTCTGATATAACCAACCTTAAATTTTATGACTGATGGACTACTATGTATATATAAGGACTACTACTATGTATATAAGGAATTAGGTATGGATTGTTACACTAAGAKGACAATTACTATGTACAAAAGCAAAATGGTTTATTTTCCTTTTATTGCAGGTTGGACTGTAATTTGTTRTTTTATTAGAATCTGTATGTAATGTAAAGGAGAGACTAAAATTAGCAAAAGGGCAGCATCTAGAACAAAAATGTTCATGTTTCTATTCTGAAAATATTAATTACAAATTGTTGTTTCAGAAACAGAAAAAAATAACATTTCAAATAACTTTTGGATCATTTTGAAGACCAAGTGTTTAAAAAGGTAAGATCTCTGAATTATTATTATTAGTAGTAGTAGTAGCAGTAGCATTTTATGAAAGAATTGTGAGAAAACAACATAAGGCCACGTGCCTGGCAAAAGAAGTAAAGTGAGTCCTGAAGCAGAATTACAATAAAGAAGCAAAACATATTTCACACAGGGTATTTTGGCTTCTTTTATTGCAGGCAAAGGACTGGCATCGAAGTGATTTTTTTTTTTTTTTTCTGAAAATTTTAAATATTAACACCTTTCCTGTCAGATGCCTTGCCAAATTTGCTTTGCTCCTCGGTGACTGTCCTTCTATTTTGTTCTGCAAGATTTTGATGGTGTTTCTTTTTCAAAAGGTACAGAAAATTTACCATCAAGGCAGTTCAGAAACAGAATGAAAGTAAAAAACCCTACTATTTTACATCAGAGACCAACTTACATCAGTTATTCCATCTGATGACAATCAGAATTGATAACAGACAGAAAAACAGGGAGAAGGGACCAGAAAACAGACTATATTAATCTTTTTGTTGATGGTACATCATTTTCAGGCTATTCACAGAAAAAAAAACGCTTTCTCTGCTCAATTTTAGCAGCTTTTCAACAGCTAGACAAGCATTTGTACTGCTTAATGTTAAATACCTTGCTTCAGCTTTAGCAACCAAAATCTATGCCCCTGTTTTAAGACAACATTTCCCCTGTTTTTCCAACATTTGGAAAAACTCACTCAATGACGCTAAAAAAAAATCAAATATCTAAGTATTTCACCTTAGACTTTTCAAATCTTCTGAGTGTTTCTAGCAGCTTGATGACTTGTATTCTTGTATCTTCTTCACAGAAGAAAATCCATGAGGAGTTGCTACCATGGGTAACAGAGAAGCTAAAAAACGAAATAAATATTTTACCAAATAAGTGATTTATGAACAAAATGAAAAATTCAAGGCACATTCCCTAAATATAAGTAGTTTGCCATCAATTATTCATTTACACTGAAGCAGAAAATTTTACTACTGATTTAGAATTATACAGCAAAGAACYACAAACCCACAATCTTTATTCGTCCAGTTTCCTTTGCATGGCTTTTATATTGATTCAATTAAAACAATCATCTGACTAGAGGAATAAGAAAACTATTGCCTATGAACATCACAGTTTGCTTTCTCTACATTTTCTACTGACCAAATCAGCAGTGAAAAGAAACAGCAAAAAAAAGTAAGCCATCAAAAGTAAGTAAAAAAGCTTGATTGGATCATTTATATTTTAAAGAATGATGTTTGCCTACAAAAAAAAAAAACAACAAACCAAAACCCACTTTAAAAGCCATTGCATTGTCTGAGAAATACTTAAGCTAGAAAAAGTGATGCCTGCCTCTGCAGATATTTTAATTATATGCTAGAAGCTAGATGGTTGCCAGCTGTTAAACTAGCTCAGTCTTTCTTCATCTGGGGCAAGTTATTGTGCAGACTGGGGTAGAAATAATTTTCTTCACAGTCCTCTTCCTGTTAAGCTACATTTCCTCTGTGACTTGCAACAATATTTGACTACATATCACTTTCTGCTTAAGACACTTAATCTACTACACTACAGGAGCCAGAAGAACTCATGATCCCGTTCATCCCTTTAGGTCATAAAAGCATATGCTTGGTGCATAGTCAACACTGAAATACAGGCAACTCTCTGCCATTCAGCCAAGCAAGCAAGATACAATCAAATGGGGAAAAACCTTCCTAGCTGTCCTCTCTAAAACTTGYCAGACAAGTACAGAAGGGGTATCAGATACACCTCATGTTTTAAAATATGTACAGTATTTAATGCCCTGTGAAGACTGCAGGTTGCTCTCTCATACTTTAGTGCTCTAAAGTTAGAACTTCAAGACAGAAATGTCTGGATTTACATGAAAGCAGGTGGGGGAAGGGCAAACACAAAAATGACCCCCACAAAAAGAGTTACTACACCTTGTGAATACAGAACACATAAGCTCACAAAAATAATGATCAGCTCATTTAGCTATTGCTGGAGAAACATGATTCCCAGGGCTAAGTACTTCAGGTCTCCAAGAGAGTCTAACGGAGAGCACAGGGCATGCAAGTTTGGAGTTCAGATTGCAAGGAGCCATAGGAAATACACAGATAAGATAGTGTTTTGGATAATTTTTTTAAAAGTGTTTTGGATATTTTTTTTCATTCGCTGCTGAATGAACATGGTTACTGAGAAAAAAATGTAGCAAGCATTCTGGGCACAGTAAAGATACTGTGTCATAAGACATACACTGATTGCATCTTCTGAAATCACATATTTTGTCCAACTTAACCTGTGCCCAAGAACTAAGAATTAAGAATTTTCATAACTGCTTAGAGACCTCCTTAAAAATGCTGACAGCTACAGGACTGAGAAAAGCTATTCTTTTGAAAGCAGTTTTCTGATTCAGATGCATCTTATATTGCACTTAAAAGTATCATCAGCTGTTGCAGAATGGGCTGAACTCCCTTCTTCTTTTGTCCATTGAGAAAGCAAAACAATAAAAGCTTCAAAACATCAATGTACTTCTAAACTACTCCACATCTTCATTTGCCAAAAGTACTGAGTGAAACAGTACGCACAAGAAAACTTTAGAAACCTCAAGATGGAAATCCTCTACTTTAAATTCTTGTTCTGATTTCTACAGAATTTTCTTCTGTTTTCTCGCACAAATGAGCATTTGTATTTTTTTATTTTAGTCTGCTGTCTTACAAGAGCTGTATCTGTAAAACACTGTCACCAGGACATAAATAATTCAGAAGAGGAACCATGAGGTCATTGAAACAGGAGCTAAGCAGGGAGAAAAAGAAAGATGATTGATAGTTGGAACATCATCTTCCAGTTTTTCAATTTACTTCAAATCTCTTTTGCTATTTTTCACAGTTTACATATATCTCAAAGACAGCCACTGTACAAGCACTACCTTCATGTTTCTACACACAAAGCAATGGAATACAGAAGGAAAAGTATCCTGTCCTGCAACCACTCTGATGTAAAAACCTCACCCTGAATAAGTCTAATAAATTATATTAACTAAATTAAACCTCAAGAGGCTGCAGATTTCAATACAAGCTTCAGGCAAAAGATAGTCTTCAGTACCATATAGGTTCAGGATTTCTAAACAAAATCACTGTTTCCTTCTTATCATTGCAAGATACTACCATGAAAATGCAGCATGTCTTCCTTGGAGCCATCTGGATAAGCCAAGAAGAAAAGATATTTGAGACTACTTATCTTTTCTGATCATAGTGATATGAAAATTGGCCACATCAGCATCTAAAAAGATGCTGAAACGTACAACTTCTCACCAGAGAGACATACCACGTCTTACAAATACTATAAGCAACAACAGAGAGAAACCCCGAAAAGGTATTATGATCTACTGTTTTTTTCAAAAAAAGCATTCATCCACTTCATTCAGTCAAATAATCTGAAAATCAAAAGTTCTCAATACCTCACATTACACCCCCAGTAAAAACTGGGGACCAAATAGAAAAACACACATTCAAGAATGCTGTTTATTTAGACTAGTTTACTTCCCTAATAATTTTAAAATATTATTTGAAGAAGGTAATTGCTCAGTTAAATTCTATTATTATTGTCCATTTACTTAAAATAGGTTTCTCTGGTTTATTAAAGTTTATCAGAAAATTGCTTTGTAAAATAAAAAAAAATACAGCAAGAAAGTTAAAAGATAAGGTTGCAACTCTCATTAAAAAACTTTGCTTCAGAAAAAAAGAAGTCTGAGTAACTAATATATATAATCTTGGTTACAAAAACTTCTGAAAATAACTGGCATTCATTACACTTACTCTCTCATTAATGGCAATATTGTCCATGCACCTTCATGCCTGTCGATCTGATGAATAAGCAGAACTGTAGGCAATTCCTTTAAGAAAAATAAAAATATTCCCATTAAACTTGAATTATATGTACCTTTTTCCTAAATATCAATTAATCTTTAAAAAAGTATCCTGGAATGACTACTTAGCTTTCATTGTTTTTGACCAGCAAGTAGCCCTGAAGAATTAATTAATAATGAGGCAAAATGTACTTGGTGTCAGCTTTGAGCAGTGGAAGGGCACACGCAGTCAAGGTAATGATATGTATCTTAGGCACTGTCTCTCTGCAATTCATAAAACTCTCCTACAAATGCATCCATGGCCTCTACTGCATTCACTGGTTATTCTTTCTTGAAACTAACTTTCCACAGTTACAAAGCACATGTGTTTTCACATACGTCAACATGTTACATATGACACAAGTAAAGTATCTTACAACCTAAATAAAACAATTTCATCACTTTTGAAGACTGGAAACTCTACCCTCTCCACTTTCACAACTGAGATTACTTTAAAGGGCAAAATAAAAAAATGGAATTGCTTGTGGTCAGAAATACTGTGTAAGACATTTTTACTCCAAGCTACCACCTATTCTATAAGCACATGAAATCAGCAATACCTGCCACAGATTACAACTGCAAAYGCTACACAAACAAAAGCTAATTGTGAATAAAGGGTTTAAATCCACAGAGTCAAACCAATTCCAAAGACACAGTCTCACACAGGCTCATTTTTAACTTAAAATCATTTAATATTTCTTATGCAAGTTGTAGTATGAAGATGCTAGCCACACAATCAATGTCACAGCAAATCATTGAGAAAACTGAAATCCAGCTGTGGTTCTTGAAGCTACATATTGAAAGTTCTCTTCATTAACATGTAAAAACTTAAAGGAATAGCATATCTAATAAAGAAAACATAATTCAGAATAAAAGAATTAAGAACTAATTAATGGAATTGCTAACCTGAAACAAATGTTTGTATTCTTTCTGCATCGCATGCAGTTTCATATTAACCAATTTCTGTATGAGAAATGTGCAATTTCTAGAGAACAAAATTGTACCGTGTAAAACCAAAGAAAAGTTGTAAGGTTTCATAGACTACAAGGCCAAAATGAGCTACTGTAAGCACCCAGGATGGCAGAGATCACGCTCAACCTAAATGGGATTTCCAGGCGACAGCTAGGTCACATTCCTTTATGATCCACTAGCAGACCTGTGTTTGCTTTAGTTTCTTACAAAGTAGTTAACTGAATTTCATCTAAGCATAACCAAACCTTGCCCTATGTGTATAGTTTTGTGAGAACCTGCTTTATTATAACATAATTCAAACTACATCTTGCTCAGCACTACTAATTACATGTCTTGTGTGACATGACATTGCAAGTACGACACAGAAACAGATGCAGAACTGTGGTGAAATGCAAAACACAACAGTAATGTGTTCATTGTTACATTACTGAGTCACCTGAGCAGAGCAAAAAGCAATCTTGGAACACCTTAGAGATCAGTAGTCTATAGGAATTTGCTAATAATGAGCCCAGTGTGCTGCTACCTGCAGGTATCCTGTCCACACACCCCTGTGCTTTGTAAAACTTGTTGCTTGTTAAACTGCCCCACAAAGCCCAGAGCCAGGGGACAGGAGTGGGCATCTTAAACCCTGAGCACTGCTGCTGAACTGCACAGCTCCAGAATTAGAAACGTTTTCCTATTCCTATTTACCCTACAAGCACTTAACATTTCCCCTGCTCTCTTATCTTCTTTTCAGTAATCAATCCAAAGACACCCTCAGAGCTAGCCTACCTTCTCAGTCTTCCCTTGGGAGGTTAAATAAGCCAAATTCTTACAGTCATCTCTTACGACTACTTTGACAAAGTAGAGCTGTGGAATACATACTGAAGTCTCCCTACAGCTTTATTTTCACAAACATGCCAATTCTGTAGACATCCTGAAGGATTTCTAAAATAAAGTAATAGCAATAGCAACAGAAAAGGAAAGTAATAGCAAATCTTCTACCTCTAAGCCCAGGGGGTCAGATAATTCAGTGGGAATTACTAGCTCAACATTACACCAAACACACTATCTTCCCTGTATTCTAACAATTTGCTTAAATATTGAAAATTAAAATACATATTTCAAATGTTTTTCATGTTTTAAAGACATAAGTATCAATTTTATCAGAGCCTCATGTCCAAGAATCCAGGACAAAATATTATTTCAATATCATTCAAATAAAACCCATGGACGCTTTAAAGTACTACTTTACAATACAACTGTAACAAAAGAACTTTGCTTCTGTTTAACACATCAGTTATTTAGGAGCTTCTCCAAAGTTGTCCTGTCCTTTTAGATCCTTGCTCTATTTCTCCCTTTAGGCTCCATCCATAGAATCATAGAATAGTATGATTTGTAATGGACCTTTAAAGCTCATCTAGTGCAACCCCCTTCAACAAGCAGGGATGTCTTCAACTACATCAGGCTGCTCAGAATCCTGACCAAAACAACCTTGAATGTTTCCAGGGATGGGACATCAACACCTCTCTGGGCAAACTGTCAGTGTTTCACCAACCTTGCCATAAAAAAATTTCTTCCTTATGTAGAGTCTGAATCTACTCTCTTTTTGTTTCATAACTTTACCCTTTTCCTTATCATTACAGGCCCTACTAGAAAGTTTGTTCCCACCTTTTATAGGTCCCCTTTAAGTACTGAAAGGCCACAGTAAGATTTAAAAAGCCCCCACAACAACAAAACCCATCTTGCCAATAAATCACAGTTTCCAACAATCTTCTGCTCCTCAGGAAGCCTAAAGTAATAAAGTATAATGAATTATTTTTCATTAAAGAGGATTTCTACTACTCCCAGATGCCTGGTTATAATTTTTAAAAAGAACTTAGTTTTCATAATATATTATGTGTCGTTTTGGAGAGTTCAGTGAAAGGCCATGGTGTTACCCTGCTTTCACAAATCACAGAGCAAGTACCGGGTGAGAGTCTGTCAATAAATGATCTTACATTAAAGATACAAGCATTCGCCTAATTGTATGGAAAAAATAACTAAAACTTAAAGTAATTTGAAGTGTTCCTGACTGTAACTTTAGAATATAGGCAACAGCAAAAAATCCCCCAAAACCAAGAAAAAAACGGACAAAGCTTTCCACTACAATATATCCTGCCTCAAAACACTACTAATTATCATTGATTTATGTTTTTAATGTAGGAAAGATGCTGGCAGTCACTGATTTTGTATTTTACTTATTTTCAACAATAGTAGGAGTAAATTTCACTAAGCATATCATAACATGGCCAATTTCTAAYATGCTGCCTGAACTTCCCCCAACTGGAAAATCAGTAGAGATTGATGGGACATTGCAAGATCTTCCTTGACTACTGGTTCAAACAAGGGACCTACATCAAACTGTATTATAAACGTGCCTATGTTTTCCATCATCAAGAGGAAAAAAATGTGTCAACAATTTGCTGCAACCTTGAAGAGACCACAATTCATATGATCAGAACATGAGAAAAATCAAGAAATTACTAAAATGAAAACAAATATTTTCCTCAAAATATATATGTACACCAACAAATTAATAATGTGTTCTGCCCCTACCACCCAATTAGTAAAAAAAGGGGAGTAGTTCTAATTTAATCTACACTGAGCTACATTTTTCAAAGACCAAAATGAAGTCTGGAGTACCCAATAAGGTGCTTACTGATAGAGCTGTCAACTCTACCTTTCGAAGTTGACCTTTCAAACTAAACAATATAAAAGCCTAACTAATGTCACTCTTCTAATTACTGAGACATGAGTAACATTTGGAGATATAGACACATGTCAAATTGATTAGCGTAGTTATAAAGCTTAATACCTAGCAAAAAACACTGGGATTTAATAAAATTATAATGTAATTTCTTGCCTTTTAAACCACTCTAATATCTAGTTTGAGCAGTAGTCTGAATTTTGAAAACCAAGGCTTTGAACTTACTAAATAACAAGTGTCGTTTTGGAGGAAAAAAACTTATTCACTATGAAAGTTATCACTAATTTAGTTTGCATCTAATTTTCTTTTTCCTCTGCTAGGATCCTCCATCTTCCCCTGAGATATCACATATCTTCCCTGTTCTGTTCTTTTGAGAGTTACTGATCACCAACATCACAAATTAAATCTTATTTTGTAACAAGACAAACAAAAAGATGTGGAAAAAGTCTGGAGAAGTTTTGAGTGCTTGTTATAATAAATGCTTCCACAGACGAGTATAATAAGACAGTAGTGTAGAATGACAACAATATATTGCAGTAAGTGCCATTTGTTTGCTCTTCCTTGAGTGGATAAAAAGCAGCAAGGAATACTTCCTCCTCAGCTCACAGTTTACAAGAACTCTAAATTAATGCAATCATATAAAAGACAGATGTGGTATACAGCACATAGCTATTATCATGAATGCAAGTACTAATGGCGAACCACTGTAATTATGCTGTCAACTGATCTCAGTAAGATCCTTTGTTTAGAATGTGTTTAAGGTAGGATTTTAGTATTGCGGCTGATAGTGGGTAAAGTAAGTTTTTACTTAAAAGCAAAATCTTTCTCAATCCCAATCAGCGCATAAAGACATTTCAGGTCGGATATTAGGAAAGATTTCTTCAATGAAAGAGTGCTTAAACACTGAACAGGCTCCCCAGAGAAGTGGTGGAGTCACCATCCCTGGAAATGCTCAAGAAACCAAGCAGATGTGATACTTTGTGGTATGGTTTACTGGGCATGGTAGTACTCAGTCAAAAGTTTGACTTGATGATCTTGGACATCTTTTCCAACTTTAATGATTCTGTGATTCAAACAATGAAATTAAGCAATTTATGAGATTCAATTGATTCTTTTAATATCACCAAAGTCAGCTAGAGAAGTAGATTTTTATATTCACAGACAAGTAAGCCTGAAGCATCTTTCACTGACAGCAACTTTAAGGCAGCCGTCTCCTGAGCGAACAGGGATACAGGGGAGCAGGCTCCTTCCCCACAACAATGCAAACCTAATGTGCCTTCTTTAACTAGGGATGAAGGGGAGGAACACCAGAGCAGAAAGAAGCTTCCACAGGGCAAGAAATTTGGTAAATGTATTTCAAGTACTAGAACAGATGCTCAGGAGAAGTTACAAAAACAAAACAACTGTCAGCAGCTACTGATTTTAACCTGTATACTCTCATGTATACTTGAGCACTCTACTCAAAGATGATTGAGCAATTTTAATATAGCCAACAGCAGTGGAGGAGGAAGCTTTATAGCAATCTCTTATTCTTTACTAAGAAAAGAAATACCCTAGTAAAACAGTTTTGTTCAAATCCTATTAAGTATGCAGAGATTGCTGCAGAAGAAGCTGAAGAGACACTTAGCCTAAAGCACTTTAAACTTCGGAATTTTTTGTATATATTTTTCCCTGACATGACAAGACATCTCTGTGAAGTGACAGTACCTATTTTCTGCATTAAAAAGGCCAAGACAGTTACCACATATTTGACTGGTGAAAGGTGCTATACAAAAATAGTATATGATGTGTAAGGCAGGGCTGAGGGGAGCTCGTTCATAAATACTAAAACATTTAAAACATCTCATTAGTGCAGAATCATCTGACTTCTACAAATTCCTTCAAATGTGCTGAGCATCCATTAGAGGAAAATGATCCTGTTCACCTTCCAGCACTACAGTAGTAACTTTTACAGTTTCAACACTTAATGAGCTAGACATCAATTCTGCTGATAACAAGGCCTAGCAATTGTCAAAAGGATGCCAAAACCTTTGCAAAATGAGAAGCAAGGGCATATTAGAAAATCAGAGATCAAAAAAATAAAACAAAAAGTGAGGAAAACAGCTGGAGAAAAGCAAAGATAAAACAAAAGTCACTCAAATGAGTAAAGCCCTGCAAGTCGACCTTGAAGAGATTTAAGATAACACTGAAATACATTTTCAAAACAAGCAGAGGCTTTTGTATACTTTTCCTGGAACACTTTCAAAAGATTTTATTTTGAATGTGCCTGACCCTTCAACAGAAGAGAGTTTAGAAGCATTTCACAACTGTATTGCTGGAAAAGACCATTTATACAGAACTTTGCTCAAAACAAAATAAGGCTAGCAGTAAAATTTTGAGTTACAATGCTTCTACAAAACAGAACTCATACTTCACATTACCTGTTACTCACATGGAAGAATGTGATACTCATTTTCATTTTCCAATACTCCATGGTATCAGTTTTAAAATATTCTTAAATTCTTGGTTTGGTGTTTTGTTTTGGTGTTTTGTCTTTTTATTTTGGTGGTTTGGCTTTTTGCTTTAACTCCATAATGAACAGTACTAATTTGCTATAGTTCTTCTGGTTAATACACATAGGACCCCATTTAATATCTAGACTTTTAGGAAAAACTATTGGTTTCTTAATTGGCCAAGGGTGTTCAACATAAGAACCCTCAAGGACACAAAGCAAAAAAACTCCTACTTTACTATATCAGTTTTCCTAGGGAAATACAGACTTTTTTCTTCTAAACACTGTCACAATCACAGGCAATTAAAAAGCACTAACTACATCTAAAACTTTACCTGTTTACTCTTTTTAAATGTAATTGCCAAAAAATAATCCTGATTTTGAATTTTTTAAGATGGAAAGGGCATAATCCCAAATATTACCATTTTACGCTACCAACAGCTTCCTTATTCTTATTTCGTGCTTCTTACACAGGTCTAGTTTACAGAGGTCAAATGTTCAGGAACCTCAGAAAATTAAGAAGATTGGTAGAAACTGTCAGGAATTTTTGCAATATCTAAATCCTAACTGAAGAGTTTTGGTTAATATTCAATAAATCACTATTGAAAATGCTTTTGAGCAAGATCAGCATACTGACATCTACTGGCGACCAGAATTATAGATTGGTTTCAAATTCAAAAAATGCCTTAAGTACACAGTAAATGAAAATAAATGGTCAAGTCACTTGAAGAGAATAATGTCAGTGACTTAATCAATTTTGAACGGAGACAGATATGCTAGTTTAATGAAGTAACACAAACCTAGCAGCTATCATCCATCTTGCATTTTAAACCAGCAGAAAATAACTAATGAAACCTTATGGACTAAATATCTATTGCACGGGCCTGTAAAAACATATGAGTGAACCTGATGATTCAGTCCTTTGTTTCTGTACAGCAGTAGTCCTTGAAAACACAAGGATTTAACTTTTTTTTTGCCTGAAACTAATAACTTCATATGTATATAACGCAAAGAAAAATGCTAATTTCAAATGTTGATATGCAGGGTTGCAGAGACGATCTGTCCCACCTCCATAATTAGCATTACTGGGTCATGCCTCATTGTGGCATTGTGAGTCAACTAAAACAATCAAGACATACCAAGTATCTGCTGACTATGCCCCATTTATTTTTTCCTATACATTGATGGCTTTCCCCTTTCCCCAAATTTCAGTCATGGCATTTTGGATGGGATCCCCATCACTGCTTCTCTTAAGACACCATGACTGCTGTTCAAGGAGTAACTGTTAATACTGGAAAAGCGTCACCATTTCAGCATTCCCAAAAAGGCACCCCCTAACCTAGGCAATAAAGTTTTTTAGAAGGCAGGTCAGTTTCAGGTACAACTCTAATTACAACAAAATTCAGCTCTCTCACACAAAACATGCCTATATTCCCACCTCACTGAAACCATTTGTATTTCTACTGACTGAACTTTTCATTGCTCATATAAAGAACTCGACTGAAATCCTTAGGTTTAACAACTGACACCATGTCTTGGGTTGATTTTGTGCCAATTCTGTTCTGTATTCCTATTCCCGTTGGCTTGTATGCCCAAAAGGTGCTTGTGCCTTTAAATGCAAGCCGGAAGAAGGAGCAGGAGCTGCGGGGAAGGCGGCTCGGGCAGTTTAAAAAGCCGGCACTGCCGTGCAGCCTGAGCTTTCGGAGCTCAGCTTTTGCTTTTGCAGCTCCGCTCAGCACCACGGGAGGTCTTTGCTCGCTGGGTGCAGCGGAGTTACATTGTTGCAGTTTTAGCTAGCTCAGGTTTATTAGTTTCGGCAGCTTTCCCTGGACAGACTCACTCTGAGGCTCCTGTGATTCTGCCTCTGGAGCAATTTGGCGATTTGCGGAGAGAAAGCCGTGCGGCCCCGTCTCGTCCTGGATTCCGGAAGAAGTCAAGCCGGCAACAGAAACACACACCAAGCCCTCTGTTCCATCCACAGGGAAGAAAGGACTGTAATCCAGGTTTTTGCCACTGTTACGGGACCGGCCACRTGGGTTTCTCTTTTTGTTTCTTTCCCCAGGGACAGGAGCCGCCATCTTTTCTCCACACCACCACGTGGCGAGCGGGAGGGAGCAGCAGGCATTCCTGGACTTTTAAATATCTAATGGTTACTTTTTATCTGTGTCCTGTGGGTACTGTGTTTTGTTAATAAACTACTTTTTTGCTCTTCACTTTTTGCCCGGCATCTATTTCATATTGGTGGGAAAAAATTATCAAATTTTTCACTTCAGAGGAAACATTTACTCTGTAACCTTTTTCTCTGAAAACATTGTCTCAAACAGAGACACACCATAATCCTCTCTGCACACATTGTATCTGAACACTTGTCTCAATTCTGAAGAGGACTCTGAAAGAGCAGAACTCTGAAGAACTAAGGCTGTTCACATGACTGATTCCATTATGGGATTAAAAATTGCATTTAGACTGAATTTAATTACAACAGGTTTGATAAGCTTGGATAAATGAAGCTTAAAACATCCAGCAATCTGATTTAGGCACTACAAGACAATTTACATCAGACTTCTTTTTCCTTTACAACTAAGAACATGGAAATGAAAAATAGGTTAAATAACCTCACAGCAAGCTATTTCGCATCAGGGGATCTATGCCACTCTTAAATTTTTCTTGATTTTATAGAAGACAAAGAAAACCATTGTTTAGGCAAATTGAACTTTCAAGTAAGTTCTTAAAAACCTCTTCTCTTTAGACTTAGCCTTTACAAATAAAATTTCACATTAGAATGTTAAGTACAACACACAGGTCTCAGGTCAGCATGACCCACCAGCAGGTCAAGGGCAGGGTGCTCAGTCTGCAGAGGGCTGTCAGAGGAACAAGAAGAGTTGGGGAAGGTACTGCATCATGAAGGGACAGGGGTAACAGAGGTGTGAAGGACTGTTGCTGCAGGAAGTGGGGAATCCTTAGGATTTTAATGTCCACGCACATTTCTTCTCTACTGCTATGATGTCACAATTGCACAATGAAATTCTGACAAAAATCTACATTTCAGCCCATTCACCATCTGTATTAAAATACTCACCTAAAATTATTCTAATAATTAAATTGTTATGTTTTCCACTTCATAAAGAATGCATCTTTTTTCTTTTTTTTCTTTGTAAACACACTACAGTTGTATTGAAAAACTGCCTTCTTCCAAGTCTTTCTCATCATTTTTGCATCCAACACCATCCAAACAGTAACAGCTGTTACACAGAAAGGCTGATAGTTGAAATTAAAAGTAGGATAAATCACAGCATACAATCAGTAAATAGCCACTGAAATATTTTTCTTATAAGCACACATTAAGTAACAAAAGAAATAGAACGGATTTGGAAAAGGCACAACAAACCCCAGTATTTTTAGTAAAATGTGGTAACAGCATATGTAACAAGGTGCACTCTATGTTATCTCAACATACCTTTCCAAGATCTACAGCCTGTTTCAAAATATCTCTTTTTAGATCTTCTGCTCTCTTGGAATGAAAAGAATTACTTTGACTCTGGATGACAAATACAATTTCTTTTAATTCTGTAAACAAGAAAATAAGAAGGTTTAAAGACAAAAGATGTTATTCTCTGATTTGCTCCAAACCTAGCAAGAACCTAAGGTGTGTGAGGGAATCTACTACACAGCAAGCTATTTCTTTAATTATATAAACACTTCAAGAAATAGTAAAAAGGCATAATTTAACACATACACAAAAATCCAAACCAGCAGCATTTAACAGTAGAGACATTCATGAGGCTTCATCTTCTCCAATACTCCTTGCCACCACAGCCATAGACCAGCATCTCCCCTCACTAGGCAATGTATGAACATGAAACAGAAAAGATGCTTCCCCAATAAGAAGTTTAAAACCCTACCCAGAAACAAACATCAGATGGAGAGAGACACATATGAGAACACGGAGTAGATACTCTTATCTAATATAACAGCATCAACATCTCACACTTCTCTGCACAATGTTTGAAGGCATCATAATTAAGAACATAAATATTAGAGGAGCCCACGAGAAATTTCAAAGAAACTAATGTCTATGTAGATGTAAATGTTTATGGATTATAGAAGTGACTGTAATAAAATACAAATAGATGATGAATCAGGAAGACAAATTTTCTTGATGATAGTAGATAGTGTAATCCCTCAATACTTGGAAATCTTAGAAAAACAGGCAGCTATGATCCCATTCAGCAGCAGAGCACAGCAGATGACTACAGAGGATGAGAAGATACAGGGAAGAGGACAGATGTCTTTTCCAGAAATCTTAACAAGTTTGATCTATGCTCTGTAACCCACTCAAGACCATTAATTAAGTATTAATCAATGTGTAAAATGAAGAGTAACACATGATTTACAGCTTCTGTTTGTTTGGCCACAAAAGGCTGAACAGATACTACATAGGAAGTTTACAAGGAAACTCAGAATATAACAACTTAAGACAGCACCACAAGGAAAGAAATTAATGCCCCATGAGATCTGTACAGATTGTAAAAAACTGTGGAGAAGAAACAAAGTTCACAACAAAGAAAATTATATTCTAATTTGGCAAATAGAGTAAAATAGTGAGGAACAGTGGAACTAAGGCAGAGAAAAACTGAAGGCAGGTGAAGAAAGAAAGAAGTATCACTAGGAAAACGAGTAAAACTGAGCCCATGAAGAAGGATCACAAGAAAAACATTGGGAGCAGAAAGAGCATTAATCACAAATATCTTCACTAAGATTATGAGAAGATTGCTATGTCCAAGATCCAAGGATGGATTGCATTGCTTTTTTCCACCTAACAGTTATTTGTTAATTTAGACCTACGACTGCTCAAAGCTGCAGCTAGATGTTTTTGTGCTTTCCCCTCAATATTATTTTCCCTCAATTTATTAGGTTATTCATCAAGACACGTCAAATTGTGTGAGGTTTCTGGTGATATATTGTGGATATGGAATAAGCATTGGTTTAGATATCAGTATTCATTTTACATTTTTTCCCCACACAGTGTAGCAATCAACAGTGTTCATGCTTTGAACCACCAAACGAAGTGATTAAAAATGCCATGCATACTGAAAACTTCTAAATAGCAACTAATTGCTACCTAGCAAGATCTTTGCTAGATTTCCTGTGCAAGAATTAAAATCAGTGCAAAAACTGAAACTACACTTCACTAATGCGAATGACAGTCAAAGGATTAAATCGACATGTATGCMCAACACCAAAAACAGCCACAGAGATAAAAAGCAAACATGACACTGTTTTTATATAATTGCTGTTCCAGTACCAGTATATTTACAGATATGGAAGCATCTGAATGACACTTAGTTTCACTTAACGGTACATTTAACAACACCTGTGATATTCCACAATAATATACTTTCTAGGAGCGAGATGACATCTACTAGGATGATTAAATCAAATGAAAATAGTTCCTTTCATTATAGGAAGTTTCAAGAAGTTAATAAAAAGACATATTAAGTGTAGGAAAATGTCAACAGAAAATAGTTAAAATATTCAACACCTAAATTGTTTCTCAAGCTGAGAAACACTCAACGAAGCAAGGGAAAGAACAGTCATTTGAAAGATTAATAACTAGAAGTCCTACTGATCTGTATATAACAGTTTAAAAGAGAAGAATAAAACATCAGAGGAACTAAGAGACATCAAGAACTGTTTCATGCCCTTCCGTTTAACCTCCTAGAAATGGGTTAAAAGACCTAAAAAACTCCAAAACCTAAAAACCTGACCAGTCCATCCAGTCCAGCATATATTCTTTAACAGTCGTAACAGCAAAGAGTATTTGGGGACCCCACAATACCTTCACTTTCTCCAGCGCTCCTCATCTCCTCACAGCATAGAAAACTACTGTATTAGGAAATGCCAGGAGACAGACATAATTAAGCTGACTCTTTTTAGAACAAGCAGAGCCAGGTTCTAAGGGCTTAGCAAAATGAGAAATCCAAGGTTACAGTGCAGAGAATGCAAGCCAGGTTTGTTAACATTTTGCCAGAAGGACATCAGATATGGCTTAAGAAAAGGCAGAAGCTTGCAGAATTTTTATTCTCATTATTTATTAGAGTCCAGCAGAAAAGTATTATTTTTTCCACTATTTTACTTATTAATGTTTGACATGCTTCTTAAATATTTATTTCTGGATAGTACAAAGTTATTGTAATTTGCTACAAGCAAGTTATAGTAACCCTAGTTATTACATGTACAATTAAAACCTAGCAGATGGTAATATTCAGTTTCATCTTAAATCATTACACAAACAGCTACTAAGCATCATAAAATTTTATTTTAAACTATAGCACACTACAAAAAGCAATTCATCAGTTTCATAGTGCAAGCACACATATTCACAAGAAACTACAAGAACTGCGAGTACAATCAAAGATTTAGAATTTTCTGTTTGATTAGACTACATGAACCAAGACAAAAAAAAACCCAAAGTACTTGCGGTTTACTTACCTCTGCCTATTTTACTACTTGTTCTACCTTTTCCAGACTTCTAGAAGAAAGAAAGGAAAAAACTCAAATAAGAATACACACAAAACCTCAAATATTTCTGCAGAAAAACACTGGGAGTCAAAGCACTCATCAGATTATAAATGTATACATAGAGGCTTTAACTCAAAAATTACCATGAAAAATAAAGTAAAAAGTTATTCATCATCAAGAACTGCAACAGATACCCTACATGCTTGCATACTACTACTCAGAAAATACAGTAAGAGTAAGAGAAAAAAAAGAAAATGCTTTTCCATGACTATATTTATACCAGAGCTCTTTAAATTATTACTATCAATGTCTTATTTTTTATTTTATTAGGTATCTCCTAAGCACAAAGTTTGGAATATGGAACTCTATAATATAAACACACCTGTTCAGTGGGAAAAAAACAACCCAACACTCTTATTCATTCGATATACTATCAAGCTTCTATTGAAACACAACTCTTAAAGAAAGTCAAATGCAATTTATATAAAGACAAATATCAAACTGTTATTGTATGACACATAACATGACTTCACTGTAATTTACTCTGATATCACAAACATTCGTTAGAATAGAATTTTACCAGAATGCTGAGGAAGAGACAACAGTGACATTGCATGTGCATCGCTAACCAGGAAACCAAGACACACATAAAATAACTTAGGAGTATATTCAACTTCTTCTAAGTAAGTTTGGGTGGAAAGGTGTGGTTTAAGAGAGACAGGACTGGAGGAAGAGCTCTGCTCTTTCTACAAAACTTGTAGTAAGGAAAACAGAAGCTTCATTTGTTGCACAGTTTATCCCAGGTGATAGTACCCCAGTGCTTTGGTTTGCCCACATGAAAAAACAAACTCATCTTTACTAACTGCATAAGAACATTGTAGATTTATCTTGGTTCAAGGGTTTTAAGACTTTAATATAAAAATGCCACACAAGGCACTCCTCAGTAATAGGCTCATATATAGTTTTCCTACGCTTGAGACAATCCCTATGTATAAATACTTAGCCCCCTCCCTTTTTTTTTAAAATATCAGATCCATGTAATCCTTTTAGCTCTACCTGCATCAAATGATCTTTCCTTCATTTTACACAGAAATGAATAAGCTCCAAATTCCTTGGTAGCCATCTGTAAAACATTTCCAAAAATGACTGCATTCCATCCATTCTTATAGCCCTTTTTCTGCTGACTGGGTCAATAGTTTAAAAGATCTTTTMTAAGATTAATTTATTTTGATATCTATACACAACACTGTCATTATAAAGCACAGTACTTTATAGTTCAAGCTAACCTATATCAGAAAAAACAGAGGAAGATTGATTTTGTGTGCAAACCAAAACCTATGCGTTTTGCAGTACATAGTGTGAAGAACAAGCTATATTTACAATTACTTTTATTAAACACAAAACAATTATCATCTGTTATATTCCTGTTAATGTCATTTTTAAAAAGCAGGGGGGAAAGATATTTTGGCCTGAAGAGTCCTAGGAAGCACCTCTGACTTCATCTGAAGAAAGGTTCTGAAACTTGAAAACAGTAGGAAAGCTTTCATAAATTACATTCTGTGTAAGAAGTTGGATTGAGACAGTAATGGAATTTAACAAACAATCCTTTAGTAATGACAACAGAATAACATTACCAAATCTCCCAAATACACTGCAGAAGAGCAGCAGTTTGCAATAGGGATATTTTTCATTTAGAAAAATTATTGTACATGTAGCAATCATCATCAGAACCAAAAATTATTTAGAAATACGTACTTCTGACTATACTTCTATTGCATCTGATGTGAAATCACTAGATCTAAATGGCAGCTATAGATTTTAACTGTTGCTTCATTCCAGTACTTTTATTTCCCTCCTCTAAATTTCTTTGATACACAAATATCTGTTACAAATATATACACATATAAAAATGGTAGATAGAAGTCTGCCAAAGGACATGCACGCATTCACACCTAATACCAATTATGCTATTTAAAGCTAGGGCTAGCTCTGACCATTAGCTCCCCTAATCTGTTAATTTGAAATTTCATACGCAAGCTTTGCTTGAGCTGTGACTTGAGTGGCAATATATAATAATGCTAATTTGGCAGAGGTAGCCATTTCCCCCTCAATGTAGTATATATTAAACAAAACCAAAAAGAAAGGAAAACCTGTCTTTGAAATTGTCTTGGTTTGAAAGACAGGTGTTTACCAATGAWGGCAGGGTCCCCCCTTGGAGTGGTGGACATGACCCCCCTTCCCTCCGAATTATTATGGCTTTGAAAATCACGGGCTTTCAGGCAAGAATATGGGTAAAAGGGAATAACAGTTTTTACTAATATGTATAACAAGGTGAAACAAGTAACAATAACAATAGCAACAACCAGCCCAGTCCCAAACTCAGTGACAGGCTTCGAGAAATACACCCTCCCCTTTGGTGCAGTTACAGTCCCAGTCGGCAGGGGCACTGTTGGCTCCCGGCTGGGCGGGGTGGGTGCGATGATTCCCCGGTGGCTGCAGGGGGTGCTGTGASTCGGGTCCCRGCTGGCTCAGATCTCCCGCGTTGACAATGATGGACACAAAAATGGCAGAGGTGGATGGAGAAAGGTTTCTCTGCAAACTCACAGCGGAAACGCTGATCTCGGTGCTCCTCTGGACAGCAAGAAACCCAGGAAGGCAAAGAGACGAGCAGAAATCCCGCAGCTGTGAGACAGGATGGAGCAGAGCTCACCCCTGAAGCTGGAATCGCAGGGGTCCCCAGCAAGGCACAGGGGGGGGAGAAGATCACAGTGCAGCAAACAGGAACCCAATGAGCAGAGATGCCGGGCTCCGCAGAAAAAGGGCAGGCCACTTCTCTCCCCAGGCAGCTAGCGGGTAGACCTCCTCCTCTCAGCAAAGCAGAGAAGGAAGTGAAGTTACCCCCCCACCACACAAACACACACACCCTCCCAGGGCTTAGCAAGATCGTTTAGGTGGGGCATAGGTATCATTGTCTTTACTAATCGCCCACCCATCAAAACGATGACCTGGCAATTAGTATATCCCAGCAACAAAATGGGGGGGAAAAAAAAAAACCTCCCAAAGAAAGGGAACGAAAGGAGAAAATCTTAACCCACAACAGCAGTAATGAAGATTACATATTCAAATATTTTCCTCAACAGCAATAGCACTAGGTACTTGCATGACACAGAACAGGAAGACATCATATTACATTTAGTACTACTGAAGTCAATGATCAAAATAATCAATGCCACAGATATTAAGCTTTCTGCTCTGGTCTATTCTAGCTTATTTTATAATGTCTGTAAAATGTTCCTGCTCTAGCAATTAAAATTTATTACCTGCAGCACTGGTAGTTCCGTCTCATCTTCGGCACCTTCCAAAACCACATTTGCAGCAGAAGCTGAAAGAAAAAAACAGACTTTTTTTTCATATTACAGGAGCTCAAAGTTCTGCAGAAAAAAGAAAACAGACCATCATTCAGGTAATTTTTCACATTTAATGAAACTGCATTCATGATAATACTTGTGAACATGAGAGTCTGTTCTTACAGAATTAATACATTTGCTGCCTGACAATTCCCATACCATCACTGAAAAAAATCACTCTTTGATGTGAAGCCAATTCATCTTGGCTTCAAGGCAAATAAATCCCTATTTAAAAAAAAAAAAAAATCTGCTCAGTCCAGTAGCTCACTTGGTAACAGCCTAATGTGCTACGACATGGGAGACCTGCAGTTCACTGGTTTTAGGTTAATGTTTGGATTTACAAAGCTTCTCTTGGAACCACAGAAACTGACAGTGGCTGACAGAAACATCTACCTAAAGTGAAGATGATTATCACAGGCTTTGAATGCCAACTCTGATCAACAGTCAAACTTGTTCATGTATGAGATCCAAATAAATGTTTACAAAAAGAACAGGGACCCCTGTTCAGAGCTAATCTGCAGAGATGTAGTATTATCTTAAAGTATTTATAGTGACACCACCCTTTGCATACACTTCTGGTTTGTATTAGAAAAATTATCATAAAAAGGGTTCCGGCACTGCTTTTTTTGTTGTTGATGTAGTTAATCAATTTGTCTCAGCCTGCTCATTTGTAAAAGCAGTTCCATTTAACATAAGAAAGCCTTGCTAAGATTCTTCATGAGAAATCTTTTTCTTAAACGTAATAAAGAGATGCAAATGAAAGTAAATTGTTATAATTTGGAAGGAATTCAAGATACTATTCATCATGGTCGAATTGATGTTTTTCTTAAAAACTGGGGTGGAAAACAGATTCAAGTGGATTGTCTCACTGCAAATTTAAATAATTTCTTGCTTGAAATTGACTTCAAAGTTAACTGTTAGTCATTATCACTCCTGTGATACACTAGAAACCTATGATATAGGACAGAAAGACAAGATTGTCCTAGGTGTAGGGTGCTCCATCTCTGAATGCCTATATCCTGAGGCTCTTCCAACTGGATTTCATCATCAACTGTCCAAGAGTTGAGGTTCACAATGACATCTCAGGTCCTGATTAACTTGAATCTCAAATCACACCACTAGATCCCCAAATATAATTTTAACACAGTAGACTCACGGTGACAATAAATCAGAACCGCAGAATGGATGGAAGGGACCCACCACGCTTAAGTGAATGGCCAGTACAATGATTGAACCCACATTATATGCACCAGGCTATGACCAACCGAGCTAATATCAAAGCCATTTTCCTCTTCCTCTCCCAACAGTGTTTACAGATTCAGACCAGGAATTGCTTCCCTTACACAAACCAGATCCACACCTTCTACTTCACACGATCCAAATTACAAGACCAACACGAAACATCCTTATTCCAGGAAATGCATTAATTAAGTAGTATTAACCTGAAAAAGTATCACCTCATAAAATCATCTTATTTACAAGCATAATTTTTATTTTGCAATATGCACCTGAAAAATGACACATGAAATCTAAGACAACTCTGACTGACTAGAGATGCTGCTTCTGTCACCACAGTGCATTCAATAACCCATGACAGACTCCTCCTAATCTTTATAATATTAACATACAAAATCTTTGAAACAAATCAAACAATAATCAGATAATCTAATTCACACTACATCTTTGAGAGCACAGATAAAGCTCTTCAGGGAATTCATTAAAATCACTTCAATTTAGTATTACAGAACCACAGAATTGTTGAAGCTGGAAAGGGTCACTAATGGTCATTTAATTGAACCTCCCAGAGCTGGATCTTCAGGACCTTGCCAAGTTCTGAGTATTTCACAGAACAGACTCCATAAACTTTCTGAGCAACCTCTTCCAGTGTTCAAACATTATTAGATTTTTTTAAAGAAAGAAAAAAAAAGCAAACCAATCAAAGTATTTAAGTTCAAATGGATTTTTTTGTATTTCAGTTTGTGCAACTGCCTCTTGCCCTGTTAAGTACCAGACTCTGACTCTGTCTTCTTTACTGCTTCCCATCAAGTATATACATATGTTGGTAAGGTCTTCCCTGAACCTTCTTTTCTTCAGGCTATACAGCCAGCCCCAACTGCTTCACCCTCTGCTCATCTGTCAGGTGTTTTAATCTATTAATAATCTTTATGGTCCTTTGCTGGACTCACTCCAGCATGTATCTCTCTTGTACTGGAGAGCCCAAACTTGGACACAGCACCCCAGTTGTGTCTCGCCAGTGCTGAGCAGACAGGAAGGATCACCTCCTATGCGCTGCTGCCAACACTCTTCCCACTGCAGCCTAGGGGCTTGCTGGCCATCTTTGCACAATGGCACAATGCTGGTTTATGATCAGTTTGCTGCACACCAGGACTCTCAAATCCTTGTCTGCAAAGCTGTTTCCCTGACGATGTGCTCCCCATGTGCAATGTTGCATGGGATGACTTCTTGTCAGGGGCTGGAACTGGTATTTCCCTTCACTGAACTCATTTTCCCAAGTTCCTTTTCTGCCTGCTTCTCCAGCCTGCTGAGGTCCCTCCAAATGGCAGCACAACCAGCTGGTGCATCAACCCCTCCTGCACCTTGTGTACCCTCTGCAAATTCACTGAGGGTGCACATCCCACTGTCCAGGTCCAGGTTAATGAAAGGTTGAACACTGCCGGAGCCACCTGTGCTACTCATCAGAGCGTCCACCAATTTAGACAGTGTTCTGTCCACCTCACTGTCCACATACATAACCCATGCTTCCATCAGTTTGTTATGATATTACAGGATTGTAATGACTGTGATTCGACATTACAGCAAGTTCCTTGCTAAAACTGAGATGAACAAAATTCACTTCTTTCCCCACATTCATGAAGGTAATGATGTTATAACAGAAATCTTTTGGGATAGTTAAGTGTGATTGCCTGTTCATAAACACATGGTGACTTCTCCCAATCACCCTCTTGTCCTTCATATGTTTGTCCTGTCCTTCCTTGCTTGGCAGTGATACCCAGGATTATTTGCTCCTTTACCTTCCAGGGACTGAGGTAACACTGGCCAACTTATCCTTGACCTCCTTGAAGAAAAGGATTAAATTCTTCTAGTCCTGAGGAATCTCCCCATGACCATCACCTTTCAAAGATGATCAAGATTATCAAATGCCTTGAATTGATATCATCAAACTCCACCAGTGCTTGTGCGTGGCTGCCAGAAGGTCCTGTGGACTTCTGTGAATCCAGTTTGTTTAAATGTTCCCTAAGCCAGTCCTCCTCCAATGAGATTAACTCTTTGCTACAGACCTTCCCATGAGTTTCAGGGGCCTGGGATTGCTGAAGGTGAGTCTTAGTAATATCAATCAAGAGAAAGAAGATTCTGAGCTCCTTGCCCTCTTTCATGTCCTTTTAACCCTGTCCTCCATTCATAAAAAGGCCCTTATTTTCCCTAGTCTCCCTTTTGCTGATATACCTGCAGAAGCTCTTTTTCTTACCTTTCACAAGTTGAATCCCTCATCAGATTCAACTCCAGGTGGGCTATGCTTTCCTAATGGCATACCTGCACTCTGTCTCTGTGTTACTCTTGGGGTGACCTGACTGTATTTGCACCTCTTGTGCGCTTCCTTTTTATGTTTGAGTTTTGCCAGGAGCTCCTGTTTGTGCACGTTGGCTTCCTGCCATTTTTACTTGCTTTCCTGCATGTGGGGATGGATCATTATTGTAGGAGATGAACCTTGAAAATCAACCAGCTCTGACCCTGTCACACAATGCAATTTCAACACTCACTTATAGTTTATTCAACAAACCAATAAATGCAATGAATGCTAAAGTCTCTTGCTATATCATTATTCTTATTCCCTGTGATTTCAGAAGTGCACTCTCCCCTTCTTTTCCAGCAATTAGATACACTAAAATTACTTGGTCTCTTTTGCACTATATATGTTGGGAAGACTTTTTGCAGCTAATACATTTTAATAAGACAGGAACTGTTCAGACTATTTTTAAACTACTGAAGAACCTTTCACAAAATAGACTAACAGACACCTGAAGACACCACCAGAAAAAACTCAAGAGTCTTCACCCAACAGTATTCAAGCTTTTCACTCACACAGACTGTATGAATTTATCTTAGCAACACTCTTCTGTATTTGCACCTAATCATCTAGCTGATTAGGAAATCTGTAATGCACATCTAATTTGATAAAGCAGTCTTCAGAAGTAAACTGTGGCCAAGACTGTTTTGGCTATGAACCTGATCTCTCAGCATGGAAATCAATATCCTCTTCTAAGGATTTACTGGGAAAAGGGCAGCAGGAGAAGAAGGTGGTAAATTTAGCTGGCCTACAACGTATCAGCAAAGAGACACAGGGTAGGTAGAAAATACAGTGCCTTGGCACAAATGGACATCTCCAAGATTAATTCATTCACCTGGAATTCACTCGCAAGAGGTTTCTGAAAAAGAAGTTCCCAGGAGTGGACCACTCATAGAAAAATTCTAACTCCACATGCAGCTCATGGCCAGCTCACTTGAACAGCACAGGCAAAACCAAAATTTTTCAGTGTGAAGAATATATTTTTGTTGTGTGCATGGTATATGTGCACGAAGAAGGATGACCTATGTCTAGGAGCTATCCCTAAAACACATATAAATCTCAGGAGCTAGAGAAACCTTTGCTAAATCCAGAATTTCCTCTAGTCTTTTGTGTTTTCTGACACAATGTAAACATACCTCAGTTGGATCACTGACTTACCACAGAGCACAGAGAAAATACATTGCAAGAAGAAACTTACTAGCTGGTAAAATTTCAAGCCCAGTAGGTATCACAGTAACCAAAAGACATGGGTGATTAACTGTACAGTTTCTCACAAAGCTACTCAAAGCAGAAAAAAAACAGCAAGGCACTATCTTAAATGCAACCTGTAATTTTGTATTTGTCACATCATTATTTAATGCACTGTGTACTCTGAAGGTTGTTAATACATGTTGGGCATTAACATCTTGTCATCTGGCACAAGCAGACAAAAGCAGAATGTGTTGATCACTAGTCCTCCTCTCCCTTTGCTAAATGGCCAAGAACTGAGGATAAGAAATTTCAGAAAGACTTTTAAGGTCTATATTATCATCATCTTATCTTTATGTATCCTCAGAGCAGGACCAAAATCCACTGGAAAAGCCGGATTTTTGGATCCATTCAAAATCTGGACATGTAATGAGAATTCCTATTCAATTCAATTCCTTCAATTATTTTTTATTTTTGTCAAGTGTTCCATTATTGCCATCAAAATTCTGATAAATAAACAGACTTGCTCATAACACTAGAAAGTAAAATTCGGTAATTATTTTCATTGTTTGGCAACGGAACTGCAGGAATATATGCCAACAAACTACTAGAAAAATGAATGTGAACACTGCAGCATTAAAATACAACAAAATGTACAAATATATACAATTATGTAATATCACATTTTATATGTAAAAGCAACCTTCTCTTCAGTAATACCCTTTCAAGCATAAGCAATTTCCAAACGTTTAAAACTATACATCCTTGAAGTGCAAAGGATGTTAAAATCTGAGGAGTTAACTCTTTGCTTTCACAGACTAATCCACCTGAGGCAGAAAAGCAACACTTCTTTTATATTCTTCTTTCACAGTCTGATTCAAGGCTGACTGACCCTGGAGTCATTCCARCCACTTCACTGAGCTGTGGGTAAGTTTAAATGAGCTACAGAAAAGTAAAAATTCTATGACTTAATGTATGGCAAAGCTATGACTAATAATAACCCTTCAAATAATGACAGCCAGTTATTATATTGTACACAGCAGAGAAAACATTGTAAATTTCTTTATACTTCTAATAATAATTTAATGAAAGGCCTATTTTTGTTTTAGTTGGGTTTCTTCCCCCTTCCAAGTTTTCAAAGAACGTATGATTCTATGGGTAGGCATGATTCCAGAGAAAATCTGCACTGATGCTGTCAGGAAAAGAGATGGTATCTTCCATGATGAGACAGCCTTTGAGTACTATAAATCAGTTTTGTGTACTTATATGCAAGTTTTTTTAGTATTTCTTCATTGTCACCACCCTATTATCAGCATCAAAGACTCTGATCTAGCCAGATAAGAATGAAGCGTTACAGATTCATCAAGGCAAAACGGGGAAAGAGCAGGGGAAGGAGGAAGAGGAGAGGGTGATGAAAGCAAATTTACAGCACCTGAAGCTTTTCATAAAATAAAAGCATCTACTTATATTTCTTTACACAAATGGCACATATGGGAAGAGGCAGCTGAAATCACCGCTGAGCCACTAAAATGTCTAAATGAGTGCTGTGTACACAGCACAGCAAGAAAAGGCAAGAAAAGAAAGAGGAGGAAAAAGCATCATCATGATCCCTTTTGATTGTCTAGAAGTTAGACCATAGAAAATTATCTGAATACATTTTCCCATTCTGTAAGCTGCCACCCGCAAGCTGAATTTTACGCAATTACTTAACTACAGACAAACAAGATGTTGGCTTCCGTGGAAGGCGATCCAAATTATTTCTGTTTTCTGAGAACAAAGATGATTGTTTCGCAAAATTACTATCCAGACCATCTCAAAAGCATGGGTTATTTAGGAAAGGACAGACTCTTTAATATAAAAAAATACTAAAAAAAAAAAAAAAAAAAAAAAAAAAAAAAAAAAAAAAAAAGGAAAACCATGATCCTGCAGTAAGCTTCTGGTGAAAAAAATCTATACGAGCATTAATGGAGACTGAACAAGAACATAAGTGTTTCCATATCTGCTCTCTACCTGCAGGTATGTATGTATAAATGTATGTACAATAAATACACATACAGGAAAAACTGAAGCTGCTATTCTCTGACTGTGATTACAATCCGAGGTTATAAATTCTATAGTACCTTAATCCAGCACTTATTCATCCCAGAAAGAATGAAATGCAGCTCTAGGAACAGCTGCAGAATATTAGGACTTCTGGAAAAACCAAGCTGTGTCAGTGAATGGAAAAGTGCTTAGCAGAAGAAAAACCAAAATATCAGTTTTACTTTGCTGAAAAAGAGATGTATTAGAAGCAGTTTCCCCCTGCGTGATTTTGATGCACAAGCCACAGCAGTGGAAGAGAATTAAATCCAAAGGCTCATAACAAACTGACAAGCCTATGCAGACAGACAAGGAAATACTCAGGAATAGAAACAGTGAGAAATAGAATAGATGTAAACATTTACTTCTGTCTCTTACACTCACGCCTTACTCTTACAACTCCAGGAGCCTGTAGCAAGCCAACCGCTGACACTACTGACACAACACTACTCATCCTTCTCCGTTAATCTTCTCCCACCTGACTAGACACATGAAAAACGACTCTAAAATACAGTAACATGTTTCTGTCCTCTGGGCTGGCATTTTAGCCGGACGGCTTTACCTTCCCCTCCCCCCCCCAGCAGAACACCCCGGCAGTGCGGCACTGCCCAGATACGAGTGCTCCGGGCTGGGTTCGGCGGCCGCCCCACCAAGCTGCTCCCAATCCCAGGGCAGTTTCCCGTCCCTGCCCGCAGCCCCCGACTCCGCACAGCGCCCCGCGGGCGGGAGGCGCTCCCGGCGCTGCCCCAGCGCCGCCCGGCCGTGCTCCAGCCCGGATCGCCAACAAACTTCGGGAACAGGGGCACCGCGGCTCCCTCGCCAGCTTCCCCGCGCGGGGCGGGACAGAGCAGACAGGAAGCGGCGGCGGCTCCGGCGCCACTCCGAGCTCTCCAGTTCTCCGTGCCCTCCTCCCCACCTCCTCGGAGGAGCCGAGCGTCCCGGCTCTCCTCCCTTCACCACGCCATGGCGGCCCGGCCCGGCCCCCACCACTCACCCCGGGCGCAGAGCGGCGGGAGAAGGAAGACGAGGTGGGCGCAGGCGGCGAAGAGGAGCCAGCGGCTGCAGCTGGGCTCCCGAGACATCTTGGCGGGGGCCGCTGAGCCGCACGGCGCTGGGAGGAGGCGAGGGACACGGGGCGCCCGGCAGCCCGCCTCTGCCGCAGGAGCGAGGCCGAGCGGCCTCCGGCTGGTGGCGGTGAGGCCGTCGCCGCCTGTCCGCCCTCCTCCTCCTCCTCGCTTCCCCTTCCCTCCTCCCGGCAGGACCGGCCGCCAGCGCCGACAGCAGGAGGAGGTCCTCGGCGGCCGCGGCGCCCTCTGGCGGCGACAGCGGAAGAGGCAGCGCCCTGCGGCCCCGCGTTCCCCTGGGCTCCCCGCCCTGTCGGTGCACCTGACACGGGACACCGGCCGCTCCGGGGGTCCGGCGCTGAGCATCCCACCCGAAATAGTGCCGACATGCACAGCTCTCCTTAGCCAGTAACTCTTCTTAACCGTCCATTGGAACGGGCTGCCCAGGGAGGTGGTTGAATCACCGACCTTGGAGGTGCTCAAGGAAAGACTGGGTGTGGCACTCAGTCCCGTGGTGTGGTTGATACAGTAGTGTTCGGTCGTGGCTTGGTCTCAATGATCTCAGAGGTCTTTTTCAACCTAATAGGTTCTGTTACTCAGTGAAATGTTACCCAGCACTCCAACAGGAACCGCATCCACCAGAGCAAGGGACCTGATTTATTTCTAAAACAACCGTCCCAAGCCCTTGCCCAAGAGCACACACGGCACCTTTACACAGCGTTTCCGAAACTACCTGTGTGACCAGGAGTGGGACTCGGGGTGCAGTACGGGAGTGCGGGAGTACAGGCATGTGACCTGGAGCACAGCCTTGGCACTGGAGACTCCACAGCTAAAATGACTCACCCCTTTTGGCTAAAGAAATGCAGACCTGGAGCTGCACAAACCTGGTTTTAGGGGCAACATAGAGGACTAAATAGTATCTAACATGCATATATGTCATGATACAGGCAGTAAATACAGATGTAAAAGAGCCTCAGACAAACGAAGAAAGATAAAGAATGTAAAACTTTGTTAGCAAACAAAAAATGATCCCCTATGAATCCTGGAGAAAGGAAAAAGCAACCATCCACAGGAATGCCTGATTTGTCCTATATGCTGACATATGCTATAACATCCATAAACTCCATATGCTGACAACTTGCTATAACATCCCCCACACACCCCAGATTTAAACTGCTGTCCTTCTGAGCCAGGAAAGCTACAGAAATACAAGCAGTGATAGGACTAGAAACACAGCAATGTGTAGAAAATGTTCAGTATACTGTTATTCTTTCTTTTTCTGTAACAATTAGATGTATATTAATAATTATTAGAATCTTCAAGTGTCAACTGTAGTAGCAAGAAACAAAAAATTATTGGCATTTAACATACAATGCGTGCTTTCGCTTTGTCCTTAAATGTAATTTTGAGTGTAACACCTGGTGCCCCTGTGTAACAATTCTTTACATTCTGGGTACACATAAGCATGAATTCCAGACAGGTCAATTTGTACACATTTTCCCATCAAATACTTTTCACACAGACCCCTTCTAGCAGCCCAACCATTCAGTACCCCTGACCGCACTGGAGACAAATGGTGCAACATCCAGGTGAGCCATAAACTATTTTTAATCCAGTAAGGCCAACAGCATGGGATTCAAGTTGGATCTTCCTTCATAATTCTGCAGCCTTTAGATCTACAGCGTTCTTTTCCTGACAGGTCATGTGGTTACAATAGGACACTTTAAGGATTCCAGAGAAGTGATTGTGAAGATGAATGGAAACCTTTTCACAGTGATAAATGCTCACTCCCACTGCAAGCTTAGGTAAGCACATCTATATCACAGCAACTTGGTAGTAGAACTCACACTTTCCTTTAAAACTATCACAATACAAGTATGTTAGCCAGGCTTCCTTGGAGTACTCAACTTTCTTTATGTATTTGCTAAACACACACCCCCTGATATTGCAAGAGAAGGGAAAATGAGGCACAAGTGTGAACAACAACTGCTTTGTTGCTGTCATTCCAATTCACGAAATAAGTTACTGGCGTCAAGAATAATAATCCTGATGCTAGCTAAATAGAAACTTACATACTGTTTCCCTGTCTGATTTTATGTGCATGCTCATCATTACCAGGGAAAAAAAAGTTTATGGAAGTTATCCTTCCATTTTGGGATTAAAACAATATAATAGAGATGGAACCTTCTGCTTAACATTTATGTCTGCATTTGCTTGGTTTTCCTTGTAAGCTTCCTCAGCTATTCCTCCCCTTTCTCTCATTTCTCTGTTTTGTGCTGGTTTCTTCAAGTATTCAAGTCACAAGGGTCATGTCCTCAACAGCTGGGATAAACTTAAGACTTTTCACTTTCAGAATGGTTAAGATATACCCATATTTCAATGTTTCCCCGTGCAGCAAGTCTGTAAAGAAAACAAACAAACAAACAAACGGCCTTTTGCTGAGATTTAATAAGTGTTTTGGCTTGTCACAAATATAAGAAAAATTCTGTTGTAGCTACCCCAAGATATATGGAAGTCTTCCATAAAACTTGGTGTTCTCCGACTGTTACGAAAAACAGCACTTAAGTGTTTTAAATCTTATATTTAGACCTATAAGGAGGAAGTAGGAAATAAAGCTTTTTCTTGAATTCTACAATTCTACATACACACTCAGATTGAGTTTGTTTGTTATTCTAACTACCCCACTGAGAATTTCCATCTCAGGAAGATCGAAAATGGAGGAAGATGGAAAGGAGGCTTAGTGGTGTTCCAAACCTCTGTGTTCCTTAACAGAAAGAAACACAGAGGTTTGGAACACCACTAAGCCTCCTTTCTTTATAGAATTGCATATATTTTAGATACCCAAATAATACAAATGATTTGTCATCCCACCTCTGTTGCTGTCCCACCTCTGAGATTAAAAAAGAGGGATGCAAATACAACAAAATACTGACAGATACACAAATGTAAAGTTATGCATATCAAATACAAAAGCTGGCATATGATTCAATGGTGGTTTGTTTGTTCTTTTGTGCAGGCACTGCAGCAGTGCCTCCAGATAGTCTGGTGGCTCTGTCATCTCTTTCTCTAGAAGGGCTATAATACAGGAAAGGAGAGAAATTATGAACCAGACACAACAGCAGTTACTGAGTTAGAGAACTTGACTGCAACTATTTTGTTCTTTTAGCCATGTGAGAAATGTTTAACCCAGGAGTGACAGATTTTTCATAGTTCCTTTCACTGTGTGGGGCAGAATGATCTTTCTGTCAGAGACGGGCCTGCAAATCATATGATTTCAATTCTGTTCCAGCTCTTCCTCAGGCTTCTGCAATTGGGCTTCTCTGTCCTACTCAGAAAGCCACATAAGGAGGCGCATTAAGCGATGACTAATCCTGTGAAAAGAAGCAAAACCAACCCAAATTAGTTCAGCATCATACAAGTACATTTTGAACCACAACACGCATCTGGAAACACAGTTTCTCAGCTCTCAGCTACTCAAGACAGTAATGCAATGACAGTCCCATTTCATTAGTATATACTCTGATATACTGATACTCTGGAATACACCTACATCTGTCAAACCCTAAGCAGAGAGCTTGAGCGTGGGAGCTCTGATACTCTGCATCGCACAGATCTGARCTACACTTCCTTGTCCCCTTTGAGCACTCTACACAGCTGTCCCTGGGAGAAATCTGCAATAGTGGGGAAAACCCCACACTCCAGACATGACTCAGTCAATGTCACTTGGCCTGGGACTTGCCCCATCTTACTCAGAACTGATAACGTTGCAGGATCAGCACATGCGTGCTGACAGCCAAACTGCTGAGGAAACTCAGCACTCCAGTCAACCCCTGTGGCAGCCGACAGTGTAGTCTGAGTTTAGTCTCCTTTCTTCCTGGCTTAATTTTGGGGAGAACATTCTTTTAATTAAAATTTGAGGACTCCATTTGAGCCAAGTCCTAGAGCCTTCAATCAAAGCTTTTGAGAGAACTGGTGTGGAGCTGTAGCAACAAGTCCTGGGATGAGTTCAGTGAAGCAATTTTTTATGATGGAGACTGCTGTTATTAAATTTCACACCCTCTAGAAAGGACCTGGGCTTGAAACATCAGTCACAGATTCTTATAAGATTCTAAAGATGGATCAAAGACAATTCCTTTCCTATGGGGCAGTAATGACTGCTTAACTATCTTTGCCAGTCAGCTGCTCCATCTTCAGGTGGAGAAACAGTGAAAATACCTTCTGCAATATGTCTTCTGGAGCACATTATAGGATTGTCCAAGAGGCAGAATATATACACTCAGGGGAGGGGGCAGGATACAGGAATTTCAACACCTTTCAACCATTGCAGACTGAGCCACAGGTAAGAAAGAGAAGATCTATCAAGCTGTGGAACTTGACACAGGTCCCCAAAGTACAGGTGATGATGAGATTGTGAGATGCTCCTGTCTACTGTACTGCACACAGTCAAGGGGAAACTTCTATAGGCAGATAAAGAGGACCGAAGCTTTTCAGCCTTGATCAAGCCAAGGGCTTGGTTCCCACTTCCTTGGTCAAAGGAACAGCTTATCTAAAGAACTGTCAGACTGGCTGCTTTCTCCTGTTTGGTCTCCTGCTGCTTCCATCTGACACAGAACTGCCTCGACCAAGCACATCTGAGCCTTTTATATTTTCCCTGCTGAAATACAGCTATTTAAAAATACAAAATATTAGTCCTAACCTGCCTGATACTGTCTTTTAATAAATTACTTAAAGTATCACCTTTTCAACCAAAGGTCGAAGTGTAGATAAGCAATAAGGAATTTAAGTGAGCAAAATCATATATGAAGAAAATGCTTCCACATGTTTTAAAGAGCTTAGTGGCTACATTAACTACTTTCCCCAGATTCTAATTCCTACAAGAAAAGAAACAAGTGGTATAAAGAATCACCTGCCTTTCTCAATTGATATGGAACTAAGTCATAGTGACAGGGGAAAAAAATTAGGCAAACTGTTCAAGGAACACTGAAGTGGGTTCAAATAATGTCCTATGAATTTGTCTTTAATTTTTCTGCTGGTTTGCTAAGTTGCAAATAACATGATCACTCAAGCATTGGTTAACTTGCATCAGCTCCTGGGATTTGTGCCTCAGGATGTCACATTCCTCACAAATAGGTTCCATATATTTTGTTTTGCCTTATTACACCTGCACTATAAACCATTTCAGTTCAGGAACCAACTCAAAGTTGTTATGACATCCCAATTTGGCAGCCGAGAAAAAAAGTATCCCTGAGAGTGGAAGAGACAAGTAGTCACAGTAATATCCAGAGATGTTCAAACAGCATGAAACATCTTAACAAGGTTTTAAGGTTTTAGAACCTAGAAAAATCAATCCTACAAGATGGTGGCACCAAAGACTTTGGGATATGTCTGTTTTACAGCTTTTAATGCCCATAATCTCAAGAAGCATAGGGGCTTTATACTTAGATATAAACACTCTAAGCAGTGGCAGGAACGTAACAGCTGGTTTCCTTAGCTGAAGTAGTTTTCTTTTGAACCAGTCGGGTGTGCACAATAATCACATTAGAAACAGTTTAGAGCTGGGTGTTGGACCAGATGACCTCAAAAGGTCTTTCCCAGCTTAATTATTCTCTTATTTTGAGATAGCAGGGAGAAAAATAGAAAAAGACATGACGCCTACSTGACATATACCTGCAGGCAAAATCAGTCATTTTGGATATGTAAACTCACTCCAAGCTCAGAAGTTGGTATTTGCTGCCTGTTGAGACATTCCACCTAGGCAAAACAGCAAAGTCATTGTATCAGTCATTATAAAAGGTAAAATGATTCAATTCTGAGCTTGCCAACCATCGTTGCTTATGAACAGGTCACCTAACAACCATCCCTTGATATGAACAAAACCACAAGAAATATCTTCTATGCAACAAAAATAGATTTAATTATGGCTGAAAAGAACATCTGCATCCTGATCGTCTCCACTCAAAGGTTGTCATCTGYCGTGTCCTTCTGAGTAACATAAAGGGAAACAAGGCCGGGATAGTTAACCACATGAGGAATCTATTGATCAAAACTGGCAGTAGGAGCCAGAGCACTCCTCGTTCCAGAAATTTTCAGTTATGAAGTGGCCTTTAGGAGCCATTACAGCCTGGTGTCATTTCAAAGCAACTGCAGCCTGTATTAGCCTCAAAGCAGTTTTAGATTATGTCCACCAGCAATTGCTCTCTTAGGACTGTTTCATTCTGATTTTGATGTGGAAAGTCAAACAAAACTAGATCAATAACCCACAGAATGCCACATGTGGTACAGCACCATTCAAATACAACAACATCAAGTCAATATGACACAGGGAAGCAACAAAAGTCAAAAGAAGGCAACATCATCTAGAAAAACATTGCCCAAACCCTGAAAATACACAGTCCTAAGTCAAAACCACTCAGTTAAGAATCTGGAAAAACTGTTTTGTGACCAAGCAGTGTGGCACGCTGGGCATAACAGCAGTAGCAAGTTTTTACACAGCTGTACAGAAAACACAACCAATTCTAAGAAAATAACCACGACATGCACAGCAAACCTCAATAACAAGCTTTGTGAAGACAGCATGGAAAACAATTAGTTTGTTAAATTTTACCTAAAAAACTGTAAAAACTCCTTCCTTCATAAGAGCCCGTATGGTGCTATCCTTCCCCCCAAGTTGAGCAGGAACCCAAACTGGCCAAAGACATATTCCATATTATACGAAGTTATGCTACCCAATAGATGTTGTGTTAGAAGAAGGGGTGTGTATGTGGGTGATTGGCCTGCAAGGTGTCTGATGGCTGAGGAGATTGGCTAGACACTGCACTAAGAGGTAGCAATTGCCTTGGAATCACTTAGATCTTTCCATCTCTTTTTCCTCCATTTATCTAAGTGTCTTTATCTCAACCCACAACTTTTTCTCTCCTTTTATGCACTGTCAGGATGGGAGAGGAGGAAGAGTGAGGGTAGCAGCAGTGGGGGTGCTTAGCTCTCGGACAGGGTCAACCCACTGGTAACTATCTTAAATCCATGACAATCTGGTCTTTTCATCTTCTTTACTTCTTTACTTGGTAGTTAATTTAATGTAACAGGTTTTGGTCTGAATAGTAAGTTTGAAAGACAAATCATTGTTTCCAGCAGATTTATCTACTACAGAATGTACAGTGTTAAAATCATTGGGAGGGATTGAACTGGATTTAGGTGAGGCTGTTTCATATCTGCTCACAGCAGGACTCAGGCTGACTCTCAAACCATGGAGTCACCAGAAACCAAAAGTTTCTTTCAGTTGTGCAAGGCATTGACTCCCAGTTCCTGGCTGACAATGAGCTTCAAATCTTGCTGGAGCCAAAGGGTGCTTCTTTGTTTTAATTTTACGACATTATTTCTCATCGTATCCTTAATGGGCCTAGAGAAAATCCTTATACAGTTTTTCAGTACTTGAGAAATAGTCTCATRTTTCTTTTCAATTTCTGTTGCCACTGAAAAGAATAAAAAAATAGAATGCTTCCAATGTTAGATCACCATCCTCACCCATTCTCGTAGTGTGATTCTCACTTTTCAGCTCTGGAACTGAGTTATCTGTTCCTTCAAGTTTATTTGTGAGGCTCTAAAAGAATGAAAGGCCTTGAACTTAAAGAACTGCACTGTGACCATTTCTAGAGGAATAAAAACATACAGAGCTGGTCAGATTATGCACTACAAACAGATAATCCAAGAGATTTATTTTAACAATCCGGTCTTCAATTCTGCAGCTGGCTCATATTCTAGTGARCAATTCCTTACAAGACTTAACAGCAACAAGTAGCAGGTCCATAAATTGTTTATAGCAGATACTGCTGATAGGTTATTCAATATTGTTTCCGAAAATGCAACTGGTTGGCAATATTTTCTAAGAATCAGAAATACCTTTATGCAGATTTCTATTTATGTTAAACATATATCTTTAGGTTGAACAGCCAACATATATGGAAACAGGGTTGGGGATACTTTAATCCAAATTTTAAAAAATACAAACAAACAAGCCCACTATTACTCTTCCAGTTTTCATCAGAATGCCTTCCCCCAAGTAAGTTAGTACTGACACTGATCTACATAACTTTGACAGTGCTCTTCCATGAGACTCTCTGAAACAACGGCAAAGCTTAATTCTGCACTTTTGCCTCAAATATTGCCATAAAGTAGAAATTACTGGAAATACTGCATTTCTTTTTACTGGCTCATTCACTTCCACCATAGTAACCACTGTGTATAACTGGTCAGACAATTTCCAAAATGCAGTCTCTGACAGTTTAATTAATCTGAAGACAAAATACAATTAGTTATCTACTATCTGAGCACTTCGTATGATAAATGTAATGAACCCTGGAAAAAAAATTTATACCAGTGTAAGGAAAGGTGTATTTGTTTAATGCTTTTACACCAGTCTCCTGATTTGGAACAAAGTTATTGTCCCTGCCAGGTAGGAGTTCGAGGTCCAGTTAAAAAGACCTAAATGCATTTTAAAAGTAAACCTAGAGGAATCTCAACCTTACAGAAACACATAGTGGTATCTGATATATTGGCCCTGCTGTGGACACAAATCAGCTCTTAATTAAAAATTAATTTAAAACTGAACTTTTATTAAAGACAATAAAACACACAGGTGCTATTCCTGCTTTTTGCATAATTGCACAGCTTCATCACAGGCTGGCTGGTGCATATGCACATGAAAGAAGTTTGGCTGTACAGAATATCTTTCCATTTCAGCATTTGAAATCAAAACACCACTTCCCTAAACTGAGCAACATCAGTTCTTGGTTAAAAATCCATTACTATTTAAAGCAAGATGATGACTTAAATCAAACTAAAAAAAGTAAAGAGAAGAGAGAGAAAAAAGAAGGCTACTAGTTCTGCATTCTGGCTTGCCTTATGTAGTTATGCTAAAGGAAAAAAAGCAGAGCCAACACTGTGAAACTTCAGCTAGAAGGCGGCTATATGGCTTATGTGAGGCAATGGCACCACCCAATGTCCAGAAGTTATACATAAATTTGTTTTCTTTATTGATCCAAGAGCAAAAAAACCCCCAACTCCAAACTCAGCAAACTACATGCAATGCTTATTAAAAATCATAACTGTGTGCAAAGGCTTGGCTTAGGCATAATTTTACAAGATGTGGCAAGTTGCTAAACAGACAAATATTTCTTTAGTTTCAGCTTGAAATCTCTGTAAAATGAATATTAATGTAGCCCAGGTAAATCTATTCAAGCTATCAAAACACCTTTACCAACATTTTTGTAAGGTCCTTGTTATTTTAGCTTCTCACTTTTTTAGCCCACTGTGTTGAGGCCTTTCACAGGGATCAGTGTTCAGCATGTTTCAAGCAGTGCAGGGACTTTACTATTGCCCTACTAAAAGGAAAATTCTTGCACAATAATCCAGTTTTGATAAATGGATGAATCTAGCCAGTTCATTGGCTAGATGAATGTTCAAAAGACATTAGCTTTTTAGGAGGCACCTGTAACTAGAAATAATTTAAAGAGTTTATAATACTGGAAAACTTCAGCAGGAGATCATTAATGACAATTACTGTTAAAAAAGTACATGTCATTTTTGTTTGGAATTTTGCCCTCATCCCTCTACTAGAGGAACATTATGTGACTGTGTCTGAAATAAAAAAGTGCTCTAATAAGGACATACCTGTTACTTGTGTAATTTTAAGTCTATTAGTTATGAGCTCCCCAGCGCTCCCTGCGGGAAAGACGACACGAGACTCCGAGAGGCAGGTCCAGGTTCTTCTTTATTAGTCTTCTCTTCCAGCTCTTTCAGCTATAGTGATTCCAGCTCTGGCTCTTACTAGCTACTAGCAYGCTTTTTATACGCTTTTCTTATCTCCCAGCTTCCAAAGTACACCAATCACACAGGTCCCAGTCAGATGACACAGCCAGGCACTCTCCAATGTCCATGTAGCATGTTCTAGTCTGTGATTGGTAGATAGTTTCATTTGTCCAATCCCATTCATCTCCATGGCTGGCTGCGTCAGCTTAGCCCATCCCTTACTATGTCATTTAGCTCATGCGCATACTACTCATTAGTCCTGCCCATACTAAATCCGAGCCCAGCCCCCATACATAGCTGTAAGATAGCGAGGGCCATGACAATTAGTAAACGTAAATGTTTATTTATATCACTTTGCTGATGATGTGTTCTACACTATAAAGCATTCTGCCAGCTCTTTGAGTTATCTTCAATTCTTCCAAATCATCTATAAATGTAAATACAAAACTAAATGCAGCAAATCGTGCATATTTACAAAAGCRCTCACATCACAAAAGGTATTATTATATTAAGATCTATATCCCTGTATTAGAATGTTCTGATATTTTTTCAAATACTACTTTTTTCTTTGCACTTGCTAGTTCATTATGCATCTATGCGTCCTGCTTTTTTTTCCACCATATTAATAACTGAATCTTATGGTCACATGACAAATTCAGAATACATGTAATATTTCTTAGTCAACATATTGATTTKTTTTCTTAAAAATAAATTTCTGTAGTTTTGGATGCACCACCTTTGAGACATTCCTTGAAAAGGGAGCAATTTTACCTATTAATCATTGAGCCTGTCAATTTTTAACTCTCAGTATTTCATCTTCCATCCAACATAGAGCTTTCATATGAAGACAGTTCGAAGTTTTCAGCTCTCAGATTACATTTTGTTAACACATTTATGTTTCAGCATGTTGAAGATAGACAGAATTTAAAATAGCCCTAAGTATAGCTATAGATGTACTATAAACACTCAAAGGAAAGTTTTATAATCCTCCATTTGTGGAAATTGTTGACTTTATGAGAATGAAAGTGGGGAAATTACATATCTACATTTATTTTTGAAAAAGACAAAAGTGTTTGATTTGTGTATGCATAGATACAGTGAAACACACACTTATAAAAGACACTTTATTACATGATCTTTCAAAGCATGCTCACTGTAACCTGTATTGTGTATATTTATGTACTTAGTTATCTTTTCACAATGTCCAGGCCTAACTCCTCAGTCAGTAGATTTTCTGAAAGTTACTGAAAAAGTAAGTTATTTCTTAGTGTCTGTACAGAAGATCCTGATACTATATTGGGTTTCTTTTGTTTTGTTTCTTCTTTTAATTAGTCAAAATCTGAACAGTCTTTGAAGTGCTTGGGATACTTTCTAGTAAAAAAATGGCTTGGATTACTGTCAAAAATTCATAACAAGTACATGTCCTACTAATAATGTAAGTGATATTTTTAAAACATTCTACCAATGTTGAAATCACAAGAAGTCTGCATAATCCGTGCACATCTAATTAGCACTGAGTCATACAAATGATACATAATGATTTGGCAGCATATTGCCAGATGGTTTGCTATCAGATCAAGTAGTAATAACTTAGCTTATTTATCTCCATTCCCCTCATCCCTTATTTTCATTTTCATCCATTTTCATTTCTCTACTGATGCCTGATGATTTTTGCCTTTCCTTTTTACATTTTCTGTACCCTCTATGCATCYGCCTGTWCCCCTTAGCCCACATGCTTGTAATTCCTGAAGCCTGATATTCCAGCTTAGTTTAGGAGCTCTGCTGGGCAGAGAGACCAAACATCTGGAGAAAGGAGTCGGTGTACCCTGTGCTATCTTAAACCCGAAGCTCCAGCCTTGGGTAAAGGCTTCTGTCCAGAACATCTTGTGTAAACTGGGCTCTGGCCTCATCTGGGGGGGGATTCATTAGAATAGGGGGACATTATTGCATTTGTTAAGTTTCTTATTGGGGAATCCTAGATAGCTATGCTAATTCCTGAAACCTATAAAACTTGTACCGGTGCTGTACACGGGTGTGCATTCTGCCATCAAGTTGTGCACCTGGATCCCAAACACCGAGGTAAAACCCTTTTTATCCCCTTAACTGTGTCTGTGTCATTATTAAAAACTTGCCTTTCAAGGCAACACTACTTAAAAATAATATTGAGTTCCTTTCATTTCATATTAAAAAACAGTCAAAACCCTATTTTTTTTTTTTTTTTTTTTTTAATCCAGACTGCTTGAGGAGGTATTGCAATCTTTCTGCTTTTACAAGTACATTTATTTTATTAATTGCACTTAGGCATTGGAGAGTTTATACAACCTAGTTCTATATTTACTTAAAAACCATCCAACTCTTCCCTTCTTCCAATTAGTGCTGTGTAGCTGGTCACCTATATTAATTTTGTTTTGCACCATAATCATATTGTCTGATTTTCTTGTTTAAAGCACACCTTGTGTCTAAGCATCAGGAGAAAAGGTTATGAGGGAATTATATAATCACTCATAGTATCTGAGATTCATGAACACTTTAGGTTTAGTACTATTTGAATATTCCAAATTTCCATAAGTTTGGATCTTAAAGTAATTATCGTACACTTGCCTTGCTGTATTAAGTTTATTAAATACAAGGTAAATAAAGTATTAATATTCTTTTTTGTAAAATCTCAACATTTTTCAGTGGGCCAATCCACTTGTTTAAGTGAAAGGMTGAAAATATCTGTAAATCCAAGGAAATAGAAACAAGAATTTCACAATAACCTTGGCACTGTAACTTTTAACTTACCTTCTCCACCTTTGCATTAGTTTCTGTCTTAATTTGTGCTTTTCTAAATACAAATAAAGCTTCATCAGCATCAGACAGTAATGGTAGTTTCGCAGCCATCAAAGCAAATATTCACAGCCAGCTTTAAAGGAATTCAGGTAAACCTCAAAAATAAAGTTTGCTCCATTTTAACTCACATTTTATAAGCACACAGATCTATTAATACACATGAAAATGAAAAAAAGTCACAGGAAAAGGACATCTTTGTATTCAGTTTAAAAAGGTTTTTTGGGTTAAGAGTCTTATTCAGTGTGTCAAGAAGATAAAGCATCACCCTGTTGGTTCTCTGGGATTTGGATCTGAGCTATGCTGTGTGTTCAAGTATGCTGATCCATGGCCAGAGCCACACAGTCTTATTAGAATTTGCCAAGTGCTGATGCTTTTATCAGGAAGCATGCAAAAAATCTAGCAAGTGCAGTTTATCTGCCTTACTCAAGAGACTGTGCATTTTATTTGAAGCAGACATTCCCCACAGTAGGGATGCTCTGAACAGCACAGCTCAGATTTCTAACACTAAGAAAGCAGTGCCCATTGATTGCTATGCTTCAGGCTGCTTACACTACCACATTGTTGACATATCCCCTACCATTTTCCTCCATTTCTCCAGGATAAGTATGTGGATTGAGGTACTAGCAAAGATAATAGTGTAGATTATCATTAACACTTCCTATGCAGAAGAGACCAAAAAGGTTAAGTGAAAGTAAGCATGATGTGTTAGCTGTCGTCTCACATAGCTGCATAAACATTGGTAACTCATATTATTTTCCTGGACAACATCCTCTTTTTCACTCGATTTACATCGAGTGAAAATAAATGAAAATAAATATCATACAGTGGTAACATAATGGTATGAAAATCAGTGTAAAGCAAGAACTAAAGTAACAGGATTGTACCGCAAGAGTGAGACTACTGGAGCTGTCTAGTAATTCATATTTCCAGAGAACCATCGCTTGATAGAAATGTCAGTCTTTCTTTGGAATAAGCAATGACCTGAAATGCTCTTTACCCTTTAATACTTAGCTGGGAACCCAAGAACAAATGAACCCTAATCTCATTAGGTTGCATTAAAGACCTTCTCAAATCATGAGAGGCAGAAGCAGTGCAGAAGCTTAGATTGACCAGCATGTGCTATCCCAAGAGCCAGTGACTTACATTTACAGAACAGCAGCTGCTATAAAGCTGGAACGGGCAACTTCCAAACAATTAGAACAATAGCATGGGCTGTAATGTACTTCAATGGCCAAATGGGAAGTGAGAACATATATAAGGCCCCAGATAAATGACTGAGACTGATTTACTCAGAGTGCAACGTTTAGATGTTGCCTGCCTATACTGAGAGGAGTGTTCCTGTTTTCTGTTTTAAATAAAATATGAATATTACGTACAAAGAATGGTGTCTCTACTGTCCCAGAAGAGCTCCTGTAGATCTCTGTCTGGGCCTCTGGCACCACAGTAGAAATTGCAAGTATTCAATAGATTGTTATCTAATGTTCTGTTACGCTTGACCCTCCACAGGGATATTAGCCCATCCTCTGGTTGACTGAGACCATGTTTTATAATGGTGACATTCCCTGTACAGACACTAATGCCATTCTATCTCAGCACCCCATGGCAGTTTACCAATATTAGGACTGGTTTAACAGATGACACAACTCCTGTTCCCATGTCAAATTCAATTTTTGAACACCCTTATAAATGCTCTGGTAGAGGCCATAGTATCAAGTACAAAAATAATTTTTAAAGGCCTGATCAGCTACCATTTTAAAGAATTGCTTGCACTGAAGAAGGTCAGGCTGCTCTTTTCTCCAGGTCAGAATGTGGGCACATTTACAGAATGGTCACAGAGAGTAAGAGCACTTACAGAGCTGAACTCCCTGCACATACTGAGGAGTAAAGAAAAATCTACCGGAGTTACCTTTTTGTCACCAAGCTCCCTCTTAATTTATTGTGAGTTAAACACCAAACTAGAGAGAATATTCAGGTAAATTGATCAATGCTTATCCTAACTGTGCAAGACAACCTTAAAAATTTGAAAAATATGGGTCAGTTATTATATTCTGGTAACATGCTGCAATAGTTGGTGTATTGCAAAAATACAAAGGTAAAAAACAGAGCACCCATGAGTAAGAATCCAATATCCCACTGAACAATGAGAAAGTAGGAATAGCATAATG